CAAACAGCCCCTAGACTCAATTTGCAAGGTGGCAACCCCACAACATAAGGCCTAGTGAGATATTTTCCATTCGCAAATGTGTGCAGTTGGAACATGTTGCCATGACAAAAGTATACTGCTTTGAAATTGGGTCCGTCCTTTTGAAACACCCTGCACAACTCCCAGGATGCCACAGCATTACTAGTGGTCTCAAGTGCATGAATTCTACATCCTTTCAGAAAGGAGAAAGCGTTTTATATGGGACTAGCTGTTGAACTGGAAAATAAAGTAATGAGAAACTGTTGGTTTCTAATATATGTAATTCCATTATGCTTGTAGGTAAACAGTATTTCTTGCTGTTTCTTTGTCAATGTCTGGTTTGCCCACCCTGGAACATGCAACGTATCATTGTCCTTCTTTAAGGGTCCCTTTCAAATCTATGATACTATATCTCTGTGTGTGTGAATCATATCTATCTATCTATCTATCTCTATGGCTGGATGGCTCTTTGTCAGGAGGACTTTGATTACGTTTTCTTGCCCTGATGAAGGGAGTTGGATTGGATGGCCTTAAGTATTTTCTGTTGGTCATGGGGGTTCTGTGTGGGAAGTTTGCCCCGATTCTGTCGTTCGTGGGGTTCAGAATGCTCTTTGATTGTAGGTGAACTGTGAATCCCAGTGACTACAACTCCCAAATGTCAAGGTCGATTTGCCCCAAACTCCATCTCTATTCATATTTGGGCGTATTTAGTGCTTGTGACAAGTTTGGTCCAGATCCATCATTGTTGGAACTACAACTCCCAAACTCAAGGTCAATGCCCACCAAACCCTTCCAATATTTTCTGTTGGTCATGGGAGTTCTGTGTGCCAAGTTTGGTTCAGTTCCATCGTTGATGGAGTTCAGAATGCTCTTTGATTGTAGGTGAACTATAAATCCCAGCAACTACAACTCCCAAATGACAAAAATCATAATTTTTTGCGTGATGGTCACTCCTTGTGTTGTGAGACGTTTTGTTATCAAATTTGGTGCGATTTCGTTCTTTTGTTTTTAAGGTACTCATTATGCACAGAGCATTTATATACAGATAGAAGATGGGACCGGGGTAAGCTCTACCTGAGGGGCCTCGGCCACGACCAAAGGAGGGGGCGAAGGGCTGCACCTACCTCTCAGCATCGCCGGAGACGCTGGCCGTGAGGAGAGGGGCCTCTCTGGGGAACATCAAGGCGGGCGAGGGAGAAGAGGCGGGAGCCTGGCGGAAAGGCAGCCTCTCGGCCCAGGCCCGCTCCTCCCTGCCTCAGCCTCCCTTCCCTCTCCGTTGTTTACCTCCTTCGCTGCCTAGCACAGCCGCCACCGCCGCCATCTTCCCCCAACGGCAAGCATCCCACACTGACCGTCACTTCCGCCGTCGCCGCCACCTGTGGGCAAGGCCGGAGGAGGAGGAGGAGCCTCCATGAACACGACGGGCGGCCGCGGCTGCTCCGACTTCTGAGGAGAACCCCACCGACGACCACGACGCCTCGCGCAGGGCAGCCACCCCATTCGCTAGCGCTGCCGTTGCCTCGTAAAAGCCGCCGGCCCGCCTCCCTCACGCCGCCCAATCCGCGCCCGCGTCAAAGAACCCCTCCCTTCCCACGCCCTGCCCCCATTGGTCGCCTTGCCTGCCGCTCAGCGCGCGAACACTTCCTCCTCGGCCAATCCTCGGCGGGCTTCCCTCAGACACCCATTGTCATCACATTTCCCGCCCTACCTGCCTTATGGGAAATGCTCCCAAATAGTCCACGTGAATGACTGCGGGTGCGTCTACGACTGTGGAATGAATGCAGTTTAACAACATTTTAACTCGGTTGCTGTGGGTTTTCCGGGCTGCATGGTCATGTTACAGAGGCATTATCTCCTGATGTTTCACCCACATCTATGACAGGCATCCTCAGAGGTTGTGAGGTCTGTTGGAAATTAGAAAAGTGAGAATGCCCAGGGTGGGAGAAAGAACTCTTGTCTGCTTGAGGCAAAAGTGAATTTTGCAATTGCCCACTTTAGCATTTAATGGCCTTGTAGCTTGAAAGCCTGGCTGATTGCTGCCCGGGGAACCTTTGTTGGGAGGTATTAGGTGGTGGACAGGCCTGGACACAGCATGTTATTTGGGAACACAGAGATAATGGACCACTAGCAACCACCATGTCAGGCTATACAGAGAGGCCATTTAAATCCACAAGCATGTGGACAATTTCAACAGAAAGGAGGAAACAAAATCTAGCTACCAGTATTTAAAATTTTTAAAATCAGAACAGTAAATAAAGAACAACACTCAAAAACCGGGAATTGCTGGCAAGTATCAATCAGGGCCAGCTAACACCTCCCAACAAAGGATCCCCCCTTCTGCCTCACTTTCTGGATGTTGAAACATTTGGCCTTTTGTGGAAACAAGGACTGATGGAAAAAACTTCAATAGAGAGACCTTTTCCCCAGTATAACTCTTCCAGGAGTGAACATCCCTGCTGAGGGATAGATTTTTCTCCCTGTTGTCTCAGCCCTGTTCTTAACTACGAGTCTCTTGTAAGTCAGATGTTCTAACTCGGGGGCTGTGTGTTTTTTAACGTAATTGATCCTTAGTCACCTTTTTAACCAATTAAGCCAATGGTTCAGTAAAAGCTCGCATTTATTTAATTTATGTTATTTGTTTAAACTCCTCCATTCCTCCAAAGAGATCAGAGCAACTTAAATATGGCATCCAGGCAGCTTAGATAGACACATTTGCTTAGCATGTTCCCTCTCTCTTTCTTGCTTTTCAAATTGTTCTCCATTCAAAAAGATACTATTTTATGTCTAAAGATATTTGTTCCCAATTTAGTGTATTTAGGATTGTGACCTTCTTCAAACAACTCTATACCAAAATACATAGTTGTAGAGATGTAGTCATCAATAATGCTATACTTTATTTATGCAATTACCTGAAGGATTAAAATAGAAATACTATACTAACATCAAAATTGTCTAGAATGTCATAAAAAGAATCACTGATAAAATGGAGTGTTGTCAGTGAGAACCTTAAAATATTTGAATTTTTCCTGATACTGATATTGTTCTAAAACAGTCATGACTAATGAAGGTTAAAGTCTGTTTTAATGGAATCAGTACAGAATCCATGCACATGAATATATACACTTGGTTGCATAATTATCTATTGCAAGCACATAGCCAATATATACACTCACGATTTGTACTACTAATAGAATATGAGTCTGATCATCAGGAGTCCTTCCTGCATAAACAATTCAGAGCTGAGAACTGGATCAGACATTTCCAGTTAACACCGCATTGGAGTTAGGCCGATAGGAATTGTGAGACGTCCAAAACACCTGGAGAGCCAAAGTTTGCTCATGCGTGGTCTAGATCATGCCAGATATATTAGGACATTGCCAAGTCTTCTTGCTGATCCAGAACCAATGGCAACGAGTTTAGAATGTGAGTCCAACCTATGATTCATTATGCAGTACGGAGCTTGCACAACTGGCGGTACAACTGACTAGATTATACGATACTCCCAGAAAATATAAAAATATATGTGAGGCTGGCTAGAACCTTAAAATATTTACTTTTTATTGTCGATGGCTTTCATGGCCAGAATCAATGGGTTATCGTAGTTTTTTGGGCTATATGGCCATGTTCTAGAGGCATTCTCTCCTGACATTTCGCCTGCATCTATGGCAAGCATCCTCAGAGGTAGTGAGGTCTGTTGGAACTAGGAAAAAAGGTTTATATATCTGTGGAATGACCAGGGTGGGACAAAGGACTCTTGTCTATTGGAGCTAGGTGTGAATGTTTCAACTGACCACCTTGATTAGCATTTGATGGCCTGGCAGTGCCTGGGGCAATCTTTTCTTGAGAGGTGATTACATGTCCATGTTTGTTTCCTTTCTGTTGTTTTGCTGTTGTAATTTTAGAGTTTTTAATACTGGTAGCCAGATTTTGTTCATTTTCATGGTTTCCTCCTTTCAATGGCTTCTCTGTGTAGTCTGACATGGTGGTTGTGAGAGTGGTTCAGCATTTCTGTCTTCTCAAAGAATATGCTGTGTCCAGGTTGGTTCATCAGGTGCTCTGCTATGGCCGACTTCTCTGATTGAAGTAGTCTGCAGTGCCTTTCATGTTCCTTGATTCGTATTTGGGTGCTGCGTTTGGTGGTCCCTATGTAGACTTCTCCACAGCTGCATGGGATATGGTAGACTCCTGCAGAAGTGAGAGGATCCCTCTTGTCCTTTGCTGAACATAGCATTTGTTGGATCACCTCTCAACAAAAGATCGCCCCAGGCACTGCTTGAAATACTAGTAAGTTTATATTTGTTAAAATTGTTTTTCATTTTAATTATTGCATTGTTTTAAAGGGGTTTTTTTGTACTACAAATAAGATGTGTGCAGTGTGCATAGGAATTTATTCTTCTTTTTTTTTCAAATTATAATCCGGCCCTCAAAGTTTGAGGGATTGTGACCTGGCCTCTGTTTAAAAAGTTTGAGAACCCCTGGGCTAGAACCTTATACAGAATCCAGAACTCTGATTGATCTTTAAAATAGGAAACATGGCTATAAAAGCCAGGCAGCCCAATGCTTTGAGTGTGATTTCTCTGACTGCTGTGAAAGCATAATGCCCTTCCTTGCCGAATTTGAAATCTAGAAGAGGCGCGGCTTCCGAGGGCTCCGCCCACATCGAGTAATACGTTCTATGAAGTCAGCGCTCGCGAGGCTCTCCTCCTCCCTAGGCCACGCCCACTCCCCCTCCCTTTGGGATCATCGCTCTTCCTTCTCACACACGCCAGTCACGCCTTTCCCCAGAAGTGCCGGTTGCATCAGCCAAGCCCGGGGGCCTCGCGGGGCTGTCTAGCGTACTGCCTGATCCAAAATTGAATTCTCCCAAGTAAAACGCCCTCTTGTAAAATCCCCTTCCCTGGAGCCCTCCCACATCTCCTGGAATTAGGAGCCGGTGCTGGCAGTTCGGCTGGGACTTGTGTGGCAGAGGGGTCAGGCAGGCTCGTCGGGCTCCTAACTTCCTTTTCAACCAAGATGGCGGGGGACGAGGCGGGAGTGACTCTGGGGCAGCCGCACCTTTCCCGGCAGGATCTGAGCAGCCTGGTGAGGAGGCCACCCCGAGGCGGATCCTGTGGGCCGAAGGGGCAAGGAGGGCAGGCTGGGATCTCGCGCTTCGGAGGAGGCCTGGTCTCTGGAATGGGCTCCAGAGCGCGAGAGAGGGTGGCTTGGGTCGCACTCGGAGGGGAAGGAGAGGCTCTTGGTAATAAGACACGGGCCGGTTGGTTCTAAGCAGCCTTGTCAGGACGAGGACCGGAAATGCCCGCTTCATTCCTCCCCATCTCTCTCTCTCTGTCAGTGTTACATCACTTTGGGTGCATCTACACCTCACAATTAATGGAGTTTGATACCGCTTTCACCGCAATGGCTCAATGCTATGGAATTCTGGAGTCTGCAGTCTGTTGAGGCACCAGCAGTCTTTGGTACTGAAGGCTAAAGATCTTGTTCAACTACAACTCCTATGATTCCATAGACTTGGACCCTGGCAATTAAAGTGGTGTCAAACTGCATTCGTTCTACAATGTAAGTGTGGATCCTGTCCGAACCTATCTCCCCTACGAACCGTCTAGGACCTTAAGATCATTCGGGGAGGCCCTGCTCTCAGTCCCACCGCCATCACAATTGGGTATGGTGGGGTCAAGTGACAGGGCCTTCTCTGTGGTGGCCCCTTGGCTGTGGAACTCCCTCCCCAATGAGGTTAGATCTGCCCCTTCCCTCTTGACCTTTCGGAAGAAGCTTAAATCCTGGTTATGGGATCAAGTGTTCACAGAATAGTTTGTTTAATGGGAAAGATAGTATTTATTGGACTGCTTTGGATGACAATTTTAATTCTGGTGATTTTAATCTGGTGAGCTGGTTCTTAATGCATATTTAGAATTATTTTAATTTTGTGGATGTTTTTATTATGTGTTTTATATTATGTTTGGCATCAAATTGTTGCCTGTTTGGAAGGCGTTCGAAGTCCCTCCACGGAGGTCAAGAATGGCAGGATACAAATGTGTTAAATAAATAAATCCTCAACTGAAATGATGTGCCCCCATATGTGTGATGTTGCAATGATACAGCTGTTTACTGAGGTCCCTTCACCTTGGCTGCTTTTTCCCCTACTTGTTTGAGTAATACCAAGGGGAGAGGAGACAGCATGGTTGGAGAGAGGAAAGAAAGGAGGAAGAGAGTTGCCCCTTGATTATGTAGGGAGAAGAGTTGCTACAGTTTAGACCAGTGGTTCTCAACCTGTGGGTCCCTAGATGTTTTGGCCTTCAACTCTCAGAAATCCTAACCACTGGTAAACTGGCTGAAATTTCTGGGAGTTGTAGGCCAAAACACCTGGGGATCCACAGGTTGAGAACCACTGACTTTGACACAAAGCTACTGCGTGCCTGCTGACAGTTGGAGTCGGCTTGCTTCTTTTGCAAGCAGAATGGCAATCTTGTTTTAACAAGCACCAGTCATTGTAATTTGCACTTGGCACAGCTGGTTTGGTATACTTACAGTTCTGCACTTTGATGTGACACATGGTTTGTCACAAATTGTCTACAATCAGTCTGCTTGACTGCACTGTGAATGTTTCAGTACTATGCAGAGTTTAGACCTAAACTGTGGTGGAAACCATGGGCATCCACAGTTCCCAGCATTCATCACCATTTACTTTGTTAGCCTGGGTTGTTGGAACATTCTGGGAGTTGTAGGCCAAAACACCTGGGGATCCGCAGGTTGAGAACCACTGACTTTGACACAAAGCTACTGCGGCAGCAACATCTGGAGCAGTGGTTCCCAACCTATGGTCCATGCACCATCAATGTCCACAAGAACTAAAATATGATCCGCTGCCTCACCATTACTACACCATTGCAACAAGAGCAACTGGTCTCGTGAAACCCTCTTATATTGTCAAGGCTTATTAAATATGGTTTTCTGTGGACAAGCAGATGGTGACTACCCGTTCTGTATCAGAAACTAGAACTGATGTGGTGTATCCAATGCAATTTTCTCAATCAGCACCCCAAATAACCAAACCAAACCTAAAGTTGACCAAATACTGTTTCATAACTCTTTTGGGAGAGTAGTCCATGATCAAAGTGATCCCTGATCAAAAAAAATTGGGAACAGTTGAGCTGGAGGGATGCATGTTTCTCATGGCCTGCAGCCAGTTGCTAATTTCAACTATAGGAGAACTGTTGAATCACTGGGAATGGTTTTAAGAGTTGGTTTATTTAGCTGTTGATTTATTGAGACTGTTTTAAGTGATCAGCACTTGGATTTATTATCTTTCAGCTGTAATGACAAGTTTTAAGTAAATTAAAACAGTAAGTGGCCTTATCAAGTATAGTTGGGCAAAAAGCCACGTGTTTAGTTTGTGTTTTATCATTCAGAAATAGGAGCGTTTTCTTCTCTATATTCCTGTAAGTATAAACGGCCGTAAACTGCTTTGTACTACGAACAAGCTATATTTGTTTTGAGGTGTTTCATTGAATGAACACTTGATTGAAGTTGACAATATAAAAATGCTTAAACATTGTTCAGTCAAACTTTGTTGTAAAAATAATCAAAAACATTTTTATTCAGTTACGTGTAGGATGAGTTGGATCTTAGCTGAAATTACATATTAATTGTGTTGCAAAAAGAGGCCAGTGTTCTCTAGAATATCTGCTTTGTGCTTTAATTATAGCAAGGGTAACTTACACTGTAAGAATCAACTTTGTAGAGGGAGGTGTTAAATGCACGCTTACACAAGTGAGCTTTAAATTTCTTTGTTTACTGGGAAAAAACTAAAAATTGAATCTCATTCCTCAATTATAATGTAATATATCTGCTAAAAGAATTCCTTTAAATTTTGAGGAGTCACTGTGCATCTTTTTTCTGCAGGATGTTTCTAAGTTAACACCTTTGTCACCAGAAGTCATCAGCAGACAAGCTACGATAAATATAGGTATGTTACTCCCCCCCCCCCAAAAAAAAAAACCTATTTGGGGTAGAAGTATCCTAATTGCATGGCAGCTGAACTCCTGAGTTTCGTTATGACCTGAAGTGGTTTTGGAAAGAGCTATTAAGTGTTGTGGTAGCCTCTCAACATCAGCTGCAAGTCTGCAAGGCATGACAATCTTCAGCAAAGGTGTGCCCAATTGTGAGCTTTGATATTTTTCTTAGAATAGCAGATCTATGCCAAATAATGCTTTTGGGAGTTTTTACGTGTCCAAAAGTAGTTTCCTAGGAATGCTGTAATGATACTGTTCCACGAATGGACATCCAAATCCTTTGTGGACTAACAATGCAGCTATTTTTCATGTTTGTAATTGTGAAGTAAGCTCTTTCAAGTTAATCACACAGCTGTTTTCTGCTTTCCCTGACTTGTAAAAAAAAGAACTTTTTAATTTATTTACTATTTACTTACTTTGTTTATACCTGGCCTTTCTCACCCGAAGGGAACTCAAGGCAGCTTACAGGCTCCGGCAAAAATTCAATGCTGTATCATAGACATACCAATATTAATACATACCTATCAAACTATAAGAACAGTTAAAACATATAAGCAATTAAATACATAAACAAATAGAATAGATTAAAAACATATAACATATAAAGTGGCAAGTCTTGATTTCCATTTGTATTGATTTTCCATAGTCATTGTTCAAACTGCTGGGATCGAATTCTGTATTACCCTATTCTCCAAATGCCTACGTACAAAGCCAGATCTTTAGTTTTTTCCTGAAGACCAGGAGGGATGGGGCTCGCCTGATGTCAATGGAGAGGGAATTCGTATTTGATCATATTTCTGTGAGCATAAAATAGGTATGAGTATTGTATGGCACACAGAATGTTGTTGGAATGCAGAGCATTGGTTACAGTGAACAATGATGCTGTAAGATGCAGTCAAACTTCATAGGGGTAGGAATGCCTCATCATAGTCTCCAGGGGTGTCTTGTAAATTAATAGAGCAATTTCATTATAGGAAATCAAAATAGGTATGACTTTGATTGCAATGTATGCAGGATGATTTCAGCTGAAAAGGTTTATTCTCTCCTATTCATTGAGAGATAATTTCAGTTTCACTTATTCATTGGAAGAATTCTGGTGGTGGAATTCATAAACCTGGATTAGTGACTGAGTGGCTGAAAAATAATTGCTTAAAATATTTGTGGGTATAAAATGGTTTTCAAAGCTATTGGATGAACACATGAAGGCAAGTTTTATCTTATTTTGATTTCTTAATATAGAAGATCTTTTAAATTGACAAACATTTGTTTTTAAAATCTAGGTACAATTGGCCATGTGGCTCATGGAAAGTCAACTGTAGTAAAAGCTATTTCTGGAGTTCATACTGTCAGATTCAAAAATGAACTGGAAAGAAATATCACCATCAAGCTGGGCTATGCTAATGCTAAGGTTTGTCACCACCCTACATCTAGCAAGCTGACTTTTTATTAGTCATTATTTTACTTACTGTTCTTCAGTGGAATGGTCTTGTTGGGTAATGGTAAATTGCATCTTTATTGTGGCTTCTCTATGCAGATATACAAACTTGATGACCCAAGTTGCTCGCGACCAGAATGTTACCGATCCTGTGGGAGCAGTACACCTGATGAATTCCCTACAGATATTCCTGGGACCAAAGGGAATTTCAAACTAGTCAGGTGACAAGACTAGTTCAGCATGAATGGTCTAGTTTCTGTTCATAATTTGCTTTTGTCTGCAGTAGGTGGATAATTAGAGTTCTTAGTTTGCTAGCCTAATTTTGATAATATATACTCTGATAATATATAACCGCCCTGAGTCCCCTTGGGGAGATAGGTGTAGAATATAAAGATGATGATGATGATTATTATTATTATTATTATTATTAACGTATATGTAGCTAGTTATCACCTTGATAAGAGATTGAAAGTGATTGCCATGGCTTCCCTGAATACAATTTTATCTTGCTGCTCATGAAATAAGAAGATGTACTTTGGTTAATTAGAAATCCTGAAAATCCCCTTGGCATTCTAAAGTAGGATTGGGCAACTCTTCAGGTATTTATGTGTGGCAATTATTCCTAACATTTGTTATTTTTGATGCCACGCCACAAGTCCAAAACATCTGAAATGCCATTGTTCTAGAGTTAGTTTTCATTACCTGTCAGGATACTGTCTAAAATGGTCTCATGTAGTTGGTTACTCGCTGCTTCCCATCCTTGCATCCATAAAGAGGGAGGATCTGTTCCCAGATTTGCCCTTGGGAAGCCTGTACTTTTCTAAAGAGCAGAAACTGTTAACTTTTTGATTTTTTTCTTGGGCTCCTTCTGGTGGCATGACACAGTGCCCAAACTGTGTTAGAGATGATAAGCAGCAGACTCTCTTCTCTCTGTTGATGAGCTAACCAGACATTGGTGTCTTCTTTATAAGAGCATAGGATGGGGAGGAATGAGAAGATGCATCATACACCTCAAATCTTCCCTGTTGTGAGCTTTATCAGAGCTGAGCTATTTAACTGGTAGCTTGTCTTCATAGTCTGAATGCTTGAAAGTAGCTTTGAAGAGAAGAATGAAATTGTAGAAAGACTGGGTTGTTGCAGGTTTTTTCGGGCTATATGGCCATGGTCTAGAGGCATTTTCTCCTGACGTTTCGCCTGCATCTATGGCAAGCATCCTCAGAGGTAGTGGGGTAGTGCATCTATGGCAAGCATCTGAGGATGCTTGCCATACATGCAGGCGAAACGTCGGGAGAGAATGCCTCTAGACCATGGCCATATAGCCCGAAAAAACCTACAACAACCCAGTGATTCCGGCCATGAAAACCTTTGACAATACATTGTAGAAAGACTGTTCAGTACTACTGCAGAATTGATTGACATACTTGTTTCTGATTGATTCTGCTCTAATCCTTTTGAATGTCTTCTGCTAAACAACTTTATGAGGGAGAAAGAACTACTGAGCACAGACTTGCCTCTGGGAGAGCATAAGGTTATACAGTTCATACAAATAGTATATAAGGCAGCACATTTATTTATTTATTTATTTATTTACTTTATTTGTATACCGCTCTTCTCAGCCCTTAGGCGACTCAGAGCGGTTTACAACAGTTTAGATATACAGAATACAAAATCATTATGCATTTAAAAACAATTACTAGTATTATATTGCATTAAAGGTAAAGGTAGTCCCCTGACATTAAGTCCAGTCATGTCTGACTCTGGGGTGTGGTGCTCATCTCCATTTCTAAGCCGAAGAGCCAGCGTTGTCCGTAGACACCTCCAAGGTCATGTGGCCGGCATGACTGCATGGAGCGCCGTTACCTTCCCGTCAGAGCGGTACCTATTGATCTACTCACATTTGCATGTTTTCGAACTGCTAGGTTGGCAGAAGCTAGGGCTGACAGCGGAAGCTCACGCCGCTCCCCGGAATCGAACCTGCAACCTTTCGATCAACAAGCTCAACAGCTCAGTGCTTTAACTCACTGCGCCACCGGGGGCTCCTTATATTGCATTACATTACAATATTATAAATATTATATGTATATACAATATATTATATTATAACATATTATTAGAATAGCACAGGAGACAAGGTGGAACTGTCCCCTGGCCCCTCTTTCTTCGCTCTGGCCCAGAGCGGCAGTTGGTCCTGGGGGGAGGGGTTACTGGATAGTTTAAACCAGGGGTGTCAAACTTGTTTCCACCGAGGGCCACATCAGCTTTATGGTTACCTTCAAAGGGCCATTTGTAATTGTAAAACTGTATGACTGTTAACTATGTTAAGCTTTGCATGCCATACAAAATGACGTGGCAGGCTAGATTCAGGCCACGGACCTTGCATTTCACACATGTAGTTTAAACACTGTCGGTTTAAATTCTGCAATTGTTTTGAGTAGATGATGGTAATATTGGGATTGAAAGGGTGCTTGTAAAAGCACATCTGTTTTGTATATTTACTTTAATGTATGGTTGCTTCTAATTATTTAAACTAGGCTTGTCAACAGAGCCTCTGGTGGCGCAATGGGTTAAACCACTGAGCTGCTGAACTTGTTGACCGAAAGGTCGCCGGTTCGAACCCAGAGAGCAGGGTGCGCTCCCGCTGTTAGCCCTAGCTTCTGCCAACCTAGCAGTTTGAAAACATGCGAATGTGAGTAGATCATTAGGTACCACACTGGCGGGAAAGTAATGACTCTCCTTGCAGTCATGCTGGCTACATGACCTAGGAGGCGTCTATGGACAACGCCGGCTCTTCAGCTTAGAAATGGAGATGAACACCACCCCCCAGAGTCGGACACAAGAGAAATGTCAAGAGAAAACCTTTACCTTTTAGACTTGCCACTTTGCTTGTGACTGCAACTTACATGTCTTCTGCTCTGCATTTTAGGCATGTCTCCTTTGTGGATTGTCCTGGTCACGATATCTTGATGGCTACTATGTTGAACGGAGCAGCTGTCATGGATGCAGCTCTGCTGTTAATAGGTACTTATTAGCATGTCAAATTGATACCTGGTATAACACTGTGGCGTCTTAAGAGCTACCCAGCATTTTTACAGTTGATTAATCTTGTTATGTAAGGAAATAAAAGGTGCGCTATACTGACTTCAGCTGGAACAACTAATATTTTAGTAGTTGTTGATCTATCTATGAGTTATAATTATATAAACGTAACTGAAAGGGCATGTAAATTGTGTGTGTACAATTGTTTAGTCACTAATTGCAAAGCCACTATTACGTTTTTGTCATGGATTTGCTGCCATATGCTGGCAGACTTGAAATAGAAACCGTAATTCACAATGTATGCAGTGGTTGTGTAATGTCTTCTTAAGAAAAGGAGACAAATCCAGATTAGGATGGCAGTGCTTTTATGCTTTGCCACCTGTGATTTTAGTATGGATTGTGGCTGTATTGTGCAAGTTGTATTTGTAAGGAAAACTATGAGTAAGTTATAATGGCAGCTTTTCTTCCAGTACAAATAGTAGGGGAATTTGGGCAGATGGGAGCAGAATTCCAGATTGACACTGCAGCAGAAGTTAAAAGATTACAGCTCTCCTTTCTCTTCTGTCTTGGTCGTACTCTATATTATCTTCTCCACTATTTGTGCTGCTGTTTTCTTAAAAACAATCCATTCATGTATTGCTAAGACCCTGCGCCTAGAGCACCATGTTTGTTTTAATTCTTGATATTAGTCTATACCTTTGTTAGTGAAAGGTGCTAGAATTTAATTTTGCCTCTCTTCTTGGATTCTAAGCATTTTGTCAAAAGATTTTCCTTGTACCCTAAATATCTGCATTTAACCATGTCAGAGAGGGAGAAAAACCATGTCTCATGTAAGCTTTTAAAAATATACAAACATCCAGGTGTAGGGTTGTGCCTCTCTTGCCATTCCTGTAAAGATTGCTTTCATGCACGATAATACCACTTTCTGTTGGTGCTGTATTCGCTTCTGTTTAAAAATTAACAGCCCAGTTTGTAATAAAAAGCTATTCAAATCCATTATGGAAGTCTCAGAATAACTGCACTTTCTAATGCTCATACATGTAAAATAGATTTAGAAGTTTTGTATTAACTTCATTGGTAAACAATGATCGTTTCTTAGTAATTAAATGGTAAGGTGCAGCATTGAGTGGTTAGAATATTCCTATTTAGAAATAACAGAAAGATCCAAAGTAGCGACCATTTTTCATCTTGGTGTTTATTAAAGAAATTGGATCAGACTTCTGTATTTTGCTGTCTTCATTACTTGCATTTCTGTCTTCCAGCTGGCAATGAGTCATGTCCTCAGCCACAGACCTCAGAACACTTAGCTGCTATAGAAATTATGAAACTGAAACACATTCTAATTCTACAGAACAAGATTGATTTGGTAAAAGAGAGCCAAGCCAAGGAGCAGTATGAGCAAATTCTAGCATTTGTGCAAGGTGAGTTTGCAGACAAAATCAGTCTTAACAAAAATCCTGAGTTACACAACTGCATTTCAAAACCTAGTTTGGTGTGTTGTTTTCATAGGATATATGTGATGATTTTTATTCATGTCAGAATTCTCAAGAGCACTAGAGTCAGCTTCTGAGGGCTAACATTTAATAGAGGGACTTTGACTGGAACCTTGAGCTCTGAAATTCAAGGAATACTTTCCTAATGCTAAGTAAGGGTTATTTGTCCTATAGCAAAGACTTAATATCAAAGTGCTTGGCATTGATACTGTATATTAATCAGTACAGCATTTCTGAGTGACTTAGCTCCCTGTTGGCTTTGTGTAGATATGCAGTCAGGTGATCTTTAGCAGCACTCCCTTGCAGATCACTTGCACAACTCTTATCAGGGGTACCAGCTGGGAAGCTTTGATTACACTATGTAACAACATTTGAAAAAATGTTCCTGGTTTGAAAGTGTTATTTCCTGTTTAATTATGCAGTACTTGCTTTGAAAGTAGTTACTATACTCCAGAAACTTTGTTTTTGTGGCTGTCACAAACTATGTTGAATTGGTTGAGACTCTATGAGATATTCATTGAAAAACTAGCAAAAAATTTTCCCCATGATTCTTTTATAGAAACAATTAGGAAATGACATTTATGACCCAGGAACAGAAATAGTATTACATAGTGTTATAGCTGTGGTTTCCATGCTGCGTATGGGGATAGTGTTGGTAGAAGCACTGTTTGCTGTGTCATTCTTATTTGCAGCAGTTAAATCTTTTTATGACTTGTTCCTACTGTGTTGGAGTGAAAGATATACTTCATTGCCATAGGCTCTTGTGATGAATGGTGGTTTTTAGAAACTTTTCATGTTATAGTTTCTTACAAGCCAGCCTTTCCTAACATGTGCTTGATGAATAGTTAATTGTTGAGCCCCAGTAAAAATTGTTTAACGCTTGTACAGGTTTGATTTTCTTACCAATTTCAGTTCTATTTTGCAACAAAAAAAGGATGGGAAAAGTCAGAAGGGGTGAATACTTCTGCAACACAGTGAATATGGCATAGGTATCAGATATCTAGGAGCCTTGCAACCGAAGTTGGTATGCAATTGGTTCAGTAATTTCCTTGGTGCCTAGATGACGTTTCCTGAGATAATCTCTTTGTCTCCTTTAATCCTGTTACTGAATATCCTTATTTGCTCTAGTCTCTCCCTGCCTACTACTTGCACTATGCTCCCATCACCACAAGATAGCAGACCTTCAGATGCTTTCATGCCATTGTGGTACTTCTCCATTTGTGACTTTATAGATTTGCAACCCTTTGCCTCAGACAGATTACTATCTTTCTATTTCCTTTGTCTTGCATTCTTTGTACCATCCTACAGCAATCTCACAACAGTAACTTTTTGGTGAGTTGCAAGTTGATGAAAATTGAATCAAGTCATGATTCCATTTATAAGTATCATGCTTCGATTCATAACTGTTCAGGGATTATATTTCAAGTTAGGAGGAGAAAAAAGTGGGTCTCCTCACTGTTGGTTATCTTCTCCTTGTGAAACAGGATGACTAATTAACCATGAATCTGTTTAAAGATTAACTGAATTAATCAGGAGTCTGGATTTGGTGTGAATAGGGGTTTGTTTATTTGTTTGAACTGAGAAAGTTTATGCTCCAGTTTCTCCCATTGCAGATTTGGTCCATCTGTAATTTTAAATATTTGTAATCAAAAATAAATTCCATTCACTTCTTTGGGGTTTTATATCCAAGTAATATTACTAAGGATCAGAACTTCATAGTCTCGGCCTACATCTGGCATGACTTCGTTTGGATTCCACATGTTCAATTTTACATAGTAAAGCCATAAAATATGTGTTTGGAGGACTTAGAATTTTCCCTCTTTATAATGAGTTTTCTCTCTTTATAATGAATTTTCTCTCTTTATAATTTTCTCCCTTTATAATGATCTCACCAAGCAAATAGTTCTCTATGATCTAGAAAGATATATGGCTGGTATAATTTATTCACTTTTCTTAGTGGGTTTTTCAAAATCTTTTCTTCTTGAACCAGGATCTTAGCCATGTTTTCTCAGGCATTTGCTTCCAATAACTGGAAGTACTGTAATTTTTTGTTTGTTCCAGACAGCCATTCTCTACAGACTTAAATCTGTGAAGACTATTAAGCAACGTTGTTGTTGTTGTTATTTAAGACATAAATAAAAAAAATTAAAAAAATTGCTTTTCTTTCTGTTCTGGGGGGTTAGAAGGAAATATGCCTCCAACAGTCGAGAAAATAGGAACAGTTGATGCAATGCAGCTTCCTCCTATCATGGATTCTTTCAAGGTATTGTAATCTGTAATTTTCTGCCCAAACAGGTACAGTTGCAGAAGGAGCTCCAATTATTCCAATCTCAGCACAGCTAAAATACAACATTGAAGTTGTTTGTGAATATATAGTAAAGAAAATTCCAGTGCCCTTAAGAGACTTCACATCAGAGCCAAGGCTTATAGGTATGTTGAATAGATCGATAGGCCTAAAACTACATTACCTTCCATTGATACAGTCGAAAAATTGCATGCTTGGCTTAGAGTTGTGTAAATACATCTATCTGGTAACTATTACACTGAATAACACACATTTTGGTGCCTCAAATGTTAACCCTATTTCTTGGTACATTTGACCTCTTGATTCAAACCAATGGCACTAGTTTTTGAGATACAGAACATATGCCATCAACCATAAGGAATCATGACAATCATATCTAAGAAACTAGAGCTGCTGCTGTCTATCCAATGCAGTTGTCTGAACGAGTGCCCCAAATAACCCCAGGAACAGGCCTAAAGACCAAGACACCAATAATTTTTTTCCAGGTTGGACTGTGTTATTGTTGCAGTATTAAATATTTTCACATTGTAAACATTTTCATCTAAATTCAGCTGATTTTGAAGGTGCACACACCATACTTAACATCATATGTACTTTAAATCCTACCTGTTTCATTGGAGTTATTGTGGGTGAGATTTACAGAAGAGTAGAGAAAGAGTTCTGTTATTTCTAGAGGCTATTACTTCCTTCTCGGTCACCAAATCAGTAAACTACATGTGACAGTTATATGGTACTAGTGACAGTCACATTTCTGAGCATTAGTTTTTAGGTCAAAAAAAGTTTGTCAGGCATTTCTTGCAGTAATCTTCAGCACAGGATATATGTGATCTCTGTGTGTATCTGATCATGCATGTTCTTCTCAGTTATTAGATCTTTTGATGTCAACAAACCTGGTTGTGAAGTTGATGACCTGAAGGGAGGCGTAGCTGGTGGTAGCATTCTGAAAGGTGTATTAAAGGTAAGTTTTTTTTCCATAGCTGCTTCTCAGAACCTTTCTAATAAAGTAATGAAAAGCACAGAGTTTGTGGTTGGCACCATCCTTGGAGGGGGGTAAACATAGTTTTCTCTGTGCCTTTGATGTGACACCTTGGTCTTTTTCATCTTTTCATGTCACTCTGTACTGCTGACTTGTCAGGCTGCAGGCTTAAGATTAATTGTCTTTATACAGTATTTCTTGTTTATGAGAGAAAAACTGAAAATGTGAAGAACAACTTAGTACAAAGTGCAGTGTTAAAACTCTCTGGTATAAAACATGTCTTAGTTGTGTGCTACAAATAGTAACATCACTAATTTACTTTTAATGCTACTAGGCAGTGTTACATTGTATAATACATCACTTTCTTGACCCTTTTTCTAGGTAGGCCAAGAGCTTGAGGTGAGACCTGGCATTGTCTCAAAGGACAGCGAAGGGAAGCTTATGTGCAAACCCATCTTCTCCAAAATTGTATCACTTTTTGCAGAAAACAACGATTTGCAATATGCTGTACCGGGAGGCCTTATTGGTATGCATGTTTTTAATTTATATCTTTATTGTTTAAGAGTTCTGGAAGGCTGCAGAAATGAGTGCATATCTGTGAACAGCTTCTTTTCATTTTGATAGATCATTTTTGAGAGATCATTTTACAAATCATGCAACAGCCAGGAAATGGTGATTGTGCATTAAATACACCACCAAATCTTTGCTGCTTTAGAGTAAATACACTTTCATATGCAGTAACATGGCCAAAATATGGACTTACAAAGAACATCTGGCAGAAGAGGGAGGTTGATAGTTGTTAGTTGCTTCAGCACATTCGCTGACAACTCTCTTAGGCCCCTTTCACACAGCTGAATAAAATCCCACATTTTCTGCTTTGAACTGGAATATATGGCAGTGTGGACTCAGATAACCCAGTTCAAAGCAGATATTGTGGGATTTTCTGCCTTGGTATTCTGGATTATATGGCTGTGTGGAAGGGCCCTTAGCTGCGGGGGGGGGGGGACGGGGGGGACAGGGGACGCGGGACGACGACTACCACTTCAAATGTGTTTGCTTTCGTAGATGATTTGACCATGCTGGTTTCCTGCTAGTCATGCTATTTTGATGCCAGCTGTGTCCCTTTTGCTCTGTTTTTCTCCTGAGAAATTGTGTGCTTGAAATGTAACCATTTGGTGGTCTTGAAATCATCAGAAATTCAGTTTAAACCATATATATAGTATTAAATCATTATAGAACTATGCAAATAAGGTTAAGTAAGAAAATTATCCAAAGAACATGAGAAAGTAGAGCAGTTATAGGTGTGGTTTAATCGGTTTTCAAAATTTGAGAGAATCTGTCAGTTGCAGAATTTTCATCAAATATGATACAACAGAATGTCTGTTCTTCGGGCATTCGCTGCTGTCTTCACTACAGCTGCCTACATTAATCTGGAGCATAAAAATGAGTGCTATGTTTGAAATACGCTCAGATTTATTTTTTTTCTAGGTGTTGGTACCAAGATTGATCCAACGTTATGCAGAGCTGATCGAATGGTCGGTCAAGTACTTGGTGCAGTTGGAGCTCTACCAGAGATATTCACAGAACTTGAAATTTCCTACTTCTTGCTGAGGCGACTGCTAGGCGTTCGCACAGAGGGAGACAAGAAAGCTGCAAAGGCTAGTGAGACATCCTCCCTTTGGAAATGAGGGTTGGGGTGAAGGGGCATGCACAGTGAAGTGCTCCTCACCTTTGATGTGTGAGTTATAATTTAATTGTATGTATTTCAGCTGACTTGGAGATCTTTTACTCTATCAGGTGCAAAAACTATCCAAAAATGAAGTCCTTATGGTAAACATAGGATCACTCTCAACTGGTGGACGGGTCAGTGCAGTGAAAGCTGATCTGGGCAAGATCATGCTAACAAATCCCGTGTGCACTGAAGTTGGAGAAAAAATTGCCCTTAGCCGAAGAGTTGAGAAACACTGGCGGTAAGTTAGTTTGAAATAATACACCAAAATGGCATTTCTTGAACAATGGACCATTGCAGTGCTTCTTGTGTAATTTAATGTGACACATGATTTTTTTCTGCAGTGTGCCAGAAACTGTCATATTTGTCTCCATGGACTATTCATTTGGTTTCTAGTTCTTGATATCAAATGATCTGTTTTCATTCTTTCCCGTGGTGTGGCCCATGGACTACAGCTGTTTTCCTTCTTTGCAGCGGTAGCCTGGGGACCATCATTGATCCACAAGACCACCACTTTAAGCACTACTGCTTTAGATTCCTTCCAACTCAATCCTCTGTGCTATATAGCACAAATAGCTGAAAATATGTAATAACTGAAGGGTTTAGAGTTGCGTCAAATCTGGAATGTATTTTTAAAAAGTATTTAAAGATGGTATTTATCTACAGATGGAACTATGACTGAAACAAACATGTTGTAAGCAGCCTGCATTTTAAAGGGGGAGGGGAGATAATCTGGAAAAAAAAACACACCCCAGGTTCACATATGGCCATATGATTCACTTTGTTCACCCATTTTACAACCTTTAAAAATTACACAATACTTTCCACTATCAACAATATTGGTGTACAGTAAATACAGTAATCCCTGCCCGACTGTAAATAACCCAAAACATTTTAGCAACTTGCTATTCTGCTCTATGTATTTTGATTATCGTGCTTTCTAAATCCATCTTTAAATAACTCTGGACTATTTGCTTATTCCCCAGTTTAATTGGTTGGGGGCAGATCAGAAGAGGAGTGACAATCAAGCCAACAGTGGACGATGACTGAAGAGCAGAAATGAGTGCTTCACCTCATAAAGGATGATGATCTTTCCATATACTTGGGGCGCATTTCTTGGTGTGGATGCTGTTGCACAGCCAATATCCACATTATACAGCAAGTCAACCTCCTTAGTAAAGTTCTAGTTTATATCTGCAATAAAGACCTAAATAAACTGGCCAAGATGGATTCAATTATCTACAGTTTTTGCAAACTTAAAGTAATCTCATGTTTAATTTATGACACTTTGAGACTATTTGGAGCTGGTTTATCTAACTTTAAGCAGTGTAATTCAGTACCCCATAATCTGTTTTGAAATAAAAAACGGCTTATTTTTTCATTTAATTCTAAGAAGTCCTTGAGTAACAGAAAGTTGAAGAGATTTAATAGATTATCAGTGAAAAAGAAAATAAACTCTCCTTGGAAGATGAGTCCCCTTGTTGCCCACTACCTTATTTTGTTTGACCTTCAGCCTTCTAGCATTTTCTAAGTGCAACCTGCTACATTATTTTTAGTTAGATGGCTAAGAATCACTCGTTTCATTTACATTGCAAGAATGGTTTGGAAACTACTTCTTTTATAATGAAACTCCAGATATGCACGCTGTGGTCATGATTAGACATTATGGTCATTCAGGTTTATTGCCACATCTTGTTTCCACAAGCCATTTTTTTTAAAAAATCCAATTATCACAGAGAAATAAAATGAGCTGAAATCTTCTGAATGGGCAAAGACAACAAAACAAACACTAAAGAGGTGTTAACCCTTCCCTATGCTAGCCAAAGCTTGGGGTGGTGGCGGCGGCGCAGTGGGTTAAACTGCTAAGCTTTTCGGAGGTTTAGCATAGCTGGTAAATAATCAGCAATTATAAGATCTATCAACCAAAAGGTTGCAAGTTCGAAGCCCCGCGTTGGCGTGAGCTGCTAACTGTCACCCTAGCTCATTGTTTACCTAAGCAATTCGAAAACAGCTTTAGCTGTGATTAGAGAAATTAGGTACCGCTAAAAGCGGGAGAGGAGTTTTATACGCCATAAAGAAAGATAAGAAAATGCTGTGCAACCAAAACAAGTAAGTCCTGAAAGCTCTTCGTCATAGAGGATAGAGCAACAGCATCCCCTGGATGCGAGCCCAACCTTCCATGGCACCTCCTTCTGTTCTGTCTGTCTGTCTGTATTGTCTATACAAAGCGGCAGTAAATGTTTGCCGTGTATGTGTACTGTGATCTGCCCTGAGTCCTCTTTGGGGTGAGAAGGGCGGAATATAAATAAAGTGTTGTTATTATTGTTATTATTATAAACTGCAGAACTCGCTGACTGGGAGGTTGGTGGTTTGAATCTGCAGGACAGGATGAGCTCCCGCTGTTAGGCCCAGCCTAGCAGTTTGAAAACAGTCTGCCAACCTAGCAGTTTGAAAACATGCAAATGTGAGTAGATCAATAGGTACCACTTTCATAAGAAGGTAACAGGACTCCATGCAGCCTTGCCGGCCACATGACCTGGAGGCGTCTATGGACAACGCAGGTTCTTCGGCTTAGAAATGGAGAAGAGCACTACCTTTCAGAGTTGGACTCGACTAGATTTAATGTCAAGGGGAAAATCTTCGTAACTTAGATACAGACTGTATAACACACTTTCCTTTCCTTCCAAATTTTCATCTTCTTTCCTAAGGGCTCATAAGTTAAAAAAAATTAAATGGAAAATCCAGAAAGATACTTTCACAGAGCTTAAGAAAATAAAGTGAACTGTGGCATCCTCTCTTGTATAGACATGTAGAATACATGTCTATAACAATCTGGAGAAAGAAGTTTCTTGTTTCCACACTGTGTTTATCTGCTAGACTAAGAGGTAGGAATATGTTTGGATCATAAATACCTCTAATGAGCCATGTTTAGTCCTTATAATTCCTTTTCCAATACATGATCCACTTTGGCAATTAAGCCACCCAGTCAGGCTTTTAACATGCGTTACAGGGATTCTTAAAAGTGACCTTTGATAAGGTCAAGACCTTCTGTAACACCTGAAAGGACATTGAGGGAAATGCTCTTCATAATTGCTCAGAGCATGACATGATGCTCAGTTTCTGTGAAAGCCTTCCATATATTAGCCTGCAGTTATCACCATTCCTCACCATGACTGGCTAGAACCTATGGAAAGAGGTATAACATCTGTAGGGCTATGTTTTGCATAGGTTTGATCTTGGCATGGCAACTTAATGACTTCATATGAGAGTGTGATTTTGATCCCAGGAAAGCCCTGGTTGAGGGAACAAAGAAATCTTGGACCCAACTGATTTTAATAACTACCTAATTACAATTATTAATTTAAGACCTTTATTCATTTGGATACTAAACATCTAAATAAGATGCAGGTTGCCTGTGGCCATTCAAATACTGGGCTGATTATCCTTCAGTAGTCTTGACTAGGTCTGATGCAAATTGCAGTCCAGCAACATCTGAAAGTCCAAACCCCTGATATTTCAATTCAGTTTCAGTCCCAGCTTACCTCTGTCAGAAAAGACGAGTACAGTCTTGATTCCCATTATTTTCTGTGCAATTGATTATCTTACCTGACAAATTGTGCAGAATATTTTGGGGATAATTTTTCTACTACCTTCAGAGTGAATTCTGACATGCGATACGGAATTACCTCACAATCCCATGAGATTTGCATTATTGGGTCCCTTTTAAACAATTTTATTTTTTTCATACTTTTTAACATCTACATTTAATCACCTCAATTAGATGAGAGGTTACAAGATAGTATTGTGGTATTCCTGTAGAAGATCATTTCAATTCTCTTGACCTCTGAATTGGTGATGGTGTCTGGCTACTGACCTAGTGTGTCAATCTATAAGTAATGCAAGACAAGTGGATGTTCAATCAGTCTGATTTTAAACCAGGTTGGTGCAAGGACAACTTTCTATCAGCTTTAGCTGTTTTTCTTGCTACTATTTCTCAACAAATATGATCATGACCAGGGCTTCTTAAACTTTTAGACAGAAAAATGTACATGACTAAGAAATGTTTACATGGTTTATAAAATAGGCATAAAAATAAAACATTTCATGACAACAAATCCGCATTTGCAAGGCTTGCTAAATGATCAGATTTGTAGGTTGGTGTAGGTTTTTTCGGGCTATATGGCTAAGTTCTAGAGGCATTCTCTCCTGACGTTTCGCCTGCATCTATGGCAAGCATCCTCAGAGGTGGTGATCTCACTACCTCTGAGGATGCTTGCCATAGATGCAGGCGAAACATCAGGAGAGAATGCCTCTAGAACATGGCCATATAGCCCGAAAAAACCTACAACAACCCAGTGATTCTGGCCAAGAAAGCCTTCGATGATCAGATTTTTCTTTTTATGAAGGATAGCTGGAGCATCTTCTGCAGAGTCCCACTATAAACGTATTAGATTTGTATAAACGTCTAAAACAGCCACTAGGTGACATTCAGAAAACTTTTGCTGTTACCAAATTGTTCAGAACCTCAACATTGAACTAAGGGGTTGGGATCCATAGTTGAAGCGGTGGCCTTGACAATGGTTGATGCCTGTAATATCCTTTTATTATTGGACGTGTCCTCGATGTATGTTTTTTACACCCTCAAGCCACTTCCAACTTATGGGGATTCCCACACAAAAGTATCACAGAGGTTTCCTGCCATAATTTGTTCTGGAAGGAGTTTCTCCTTGTCTTTCTCAGAAAGTGTGTTTTGCCCAGTGTCAGCCCAAGGGTTTCCATAGCTAGGAGACAAGATGCTTGTTTATAAAGATGCTTGTTTATAAAGTTGCTTGTTTATAAAGCTGTTATCCTTCCAACTGTTATTCTTATAAAGCTATTATCCTTCCAACTCTACTGTATGCCTGCAAAACATGGACCATCTACAAACTTCACTCTCGACTTCTGGAAAGATCCCATCAGCATTGCCTCTGAAAAAGCCTACTAAGATAGGCGGACAAATGTTAGCTTTCTGGAAGAAACAATGACCACTAGCAATGAAGCAATGATCCACCACCATTAACTTTGCTGACCCAGCCATGTGCAAATGTCAGATGACCATCTCCTAAAGCAGTTAATATCTTCTCAGCTCATGCGGGGACACGAGAGAAGCAAAACATCCAGGCGTCCCCTGGGCAACATCCTTGCAGATGGCCAATTCTCTCACACCAGAAGTGACTTGCAGTTTCTCAAGTCACTCCTGACATGGAAAAAAAAAGCTCAAGAATGAAAAACAGAATATTGGTAGACGGCAAGATAGGCTTAAACCTAACCTGACAAAATGATTACAAACACTAAGAACTGGGAAGCCCTGGCCCTCGAAAGTTGTAACCTAGAGGCCAGCTGCTACCAATGGTGCTACCAATGGTGGATTTTGGGGCAATACTAATAAAGTGCAAAAGGGTGAAATGTGCCAAGAGGAAGACATCAAGCAAATCCTTGTTGTGACCTCCTCCCATCTGGAAATCTATACCCTCACTGCAAAAGACCATGAGGATCTAGAATAGGTCTTCACAGTCACTTATGGACCCACCAGCAAGACTCTACCCATTGAAGGCAATCATACTTGATTACGAATTATTGCCTAAGGGGACAAGCACGCAGGGGAATGAAGCCCTGGCCCTGGATTTTTTTTTCAGCACATAATAGTCGCACCCCCTCCCCTTTTAAACAAGGAATTAAAATGCGACAACTATGTGATGATATACAGTAGCTCTCAAGACATTCGTACTTTGGCTCACTCATTAATCAGAATGGAAACTGCAGCCAAGGAATAACAAGATTGGGACTAGAGAAGGCAACTATGAAGGAACCACACATGATCCTGAAGTGCCAAGCTGAATTCTGAAGTTAGGATTGTGCTTGTATGAAATGTGGTACTGGAAAAAGCGTTTGTGGATACCATGGACTGCTAAAAAGACAATAAATAGAACAAATCATGCCTGAATTCTCCCTAGAAGCCAAGATAACCAAACAGAAACTTTTATGCGTTGTCGAAGACTTTCATGGCCAGAATCACTGGGTTGCTATGAGTTTTCTGGGCTGTAGGGCCATATCCCAGAAGCATTCTTTTCTGATGTTCCGCCCACATTTATAGCATCCTCAGTGGTTGTGAAGTCTGAGGATGTCCGCTATAGATGTGGGCGAAAAGTCAGAAGAGCTTGCTTTTGGAACATGGCCATACAGCCTGGAATACTCACAGCAACCCAGAAACGTTTGTTTTCAGCATATAATGAGAAAAAAAGATTCATTAGAAAAGTCTGCAATTAAAAGCAACGACATCCTGCAATGTGGGTTCCATCACACTAAAGCATAATGCAATAAAAATGTTTGATTAATTAAAATGAAAATACCCCATTCACTTAATAAGATTATCCTAAAGAGAACATGAGTAATGTAAAAGGCAAACAATGTAATAAATATGGAATGCACTTTAATACAAAACTGAAAGAATGCTGAACAAGCATCTTTCTTCATTATTAATAAGTAATAATATGTTTTTAAAAGGCAAGTAGCCTGAATGGTTGAGTGTCTGCATGTGTACATGCCTTCAAGTCACCTGTGGGCTTATGGAGATCCCATGATTTTTATGATTTCTTCAGGCAAAGCATACTCAGAGGTGGTTTTGTCAGTTCCTTCAGCCTAAATAGGAGCACCCAAATCCCACAGTACCAATGGCTCAGATTGTTTTAAATGTTGCCAAACTCCACTGAGAGACAGATAAGCCTTGACAAAATAAACAAAATGGCATAAATAACAATAGTAATAATGTATTGTCAAACATTTATAGTTTTTCTGAAACTATAAGAGAGGAATGGGTGGGTATGAAAACCAAAAATAAATGAAAGATGAAATGTAATATATATGTCTTATTGATTTGCCTCTTAATGCTCTTGGGCTGGAGAACACAGTATGACACAGCAAACGAGAATTATTATTATTATTACTTCATGTTTATCCCACTTTTGCTCCCAAGAGTATTAAAAAAGTTTTAATCTGCAAACAAAAGGCCATTAGGAAGGGGGCTTATCACACCTCTCTAGAAAGGGAGTTCCAAAGCCACGGGGCCACCACCGAGAAGGCCCTTTCCCTCATTCCCATCAACTGCACTTGTGATGGAGGTGGGACTGACAGAAGAGCCTCTCCTCATGATTTCAGGGCTCATAAAAAAAAGAAGCAGCCCTTATTTGGTGTGTGGTGGCAGCCCACATCGCCAACACTTCCCATTTGTTTTTAAATGAGTGTGAAAACATCATTTAAGTTTCTAAATATGCTAGTTAAAACATAGCACTATTTTAAAAAAATCACAAGCTGAACTTTTCTCTATAACTCAACTATAGTAATTCATCAAACAACAGCACATTAGTGATACCTGGAATTCCATATTTTCAATTTTATTTGTTCGCTTATTTTACAATTAACAGTTGAATACCACCACCCCCTTGTCTCTGCCTCCATCTCTCTCTCTATATATATATAGGTAAAGGTTTCCCCTGACATTAAGTCTAGTTGTGTCCAACTCTGGAGGGTGGTGCTCATCTTCCTTTCTATGCCAAAGAGTCTATGACACCGCCAAAGTCATGTAGCCAGCATGACTGCATGGAGCGCTGTTATCTTCCCACAGAAGCCACACCTATTGATCTACCCACATTTGCATGTTTTGAACTGTTAGGTTGGCTGAAGCTGGGGCTAACAGCAGGAGCTCACCCTACTCTCTGGATTCGAACCACCAACCTTTTGGTCAGCAAGTTCAGCAGCTCAAGGGTTTAATCTGCTGCACCACCAGGGGCCCTTAATACACATACACACACATAAAAGGGGGGGAGCCAATAGTCATGAAAGGGTTTCAATATTTCATAACTCCTTTATTTTTAATTTTAATCTACAACACCATAGCAACACGAACAGTATAGATATGTGTATATGTATATATTTATAGGAAGTAAGGTAATGCTCAAGATCCTGCAAGGTAGACTCCAGAAATATATGGAGCAAAAGCTGCCAGATAAACAAGCTGGTTTAGAAAAGGCAGAGGAACAGGAGACCAAATTGCCAACATCCACTGAATAATGGAGAAAGGCAGGGAGTTTCAGAAAAAACATACATTTCTGTTTTGTTGACCATTTTAAAGCCTTTGACTGCGTGGATCATAATAAACTGGTAAGTTTTGGGTCGGATGGGGATATCAAATCACTTTGTCTCCTGAGCAATCTGTATAACATCCAAGTAGAAACAGTAAGAACAGACCATAGAACAGACTCTTTCGTATTGAACTTGCATGCAGAACACATCATGCAACGTGCAGGGCTTGATGAATCCAAGGCTGAAATTACAATTGCTGGAAGAAACATTAACAACCTTAGATATGCAGATGACACCACTTTGATGGCTGAAAAGAGGAAGGAGCAGAGGAGCTTTCTAACCAAGGTGAAAGAAGGAAGTGCAAAATCTGGGTTGCAGTTAACAGCAAAAAAAACCAAGTTTATGGCAACTAGACTGATTGATAACTGGCAAATAGAGGGAGAAAACGTGGAGGCAGTGACAGACTTTGTATTTCTAGGTGCAAGGATTACCGCAGGCGCAGACTGCAGCTAGGAAATCAGAAGAGGCTTCCTACTTGGGAGGAGAGCAATGACCAATCTTGATAAAATAGTGAAGAGTAGAGACATCACACTGGCAATGAAGATCTGCATATTTAAAACAATGGTATTTCCCGTAATAACCTATGGATGTGAGAGCTGGACCATAGGGAAGGCTGAGCAAAGGAAGATAGACACTTTTGAACTGTGGTGCTGAAAGAAAATTCTGAGTGCCTTGGACCGCAAGAATATCAAACCAATCCATACTCCAGGAAATGAGGCCCAACTGCTCATTGGAGGGAAGGATATTAGAATCAAATATGAAGTACTTTGGCCACATCATGAGAAAACAGGAAAGCTTGGAGAAGACAATGATGCTGGGGAAAATGGAAGGAAAACGGAAGAGGGGCCAACCAAGGGCAAGATGGATGGATGTTATCCTTGAAGTGACTTGCTTGACCTTGAAGGAGCTGAGGGTGGTGACAGCTGACAGGGAGCTCTGGTGTGGGTTGGTTCATGAGGTCACAAAGAGTCGGCAGCGACTGAACGAATAAACAACCACCCCCCTTTCCTCAATAGTGGCACATAAGGTTCAGCTGAGCTGCTGAACTTGAAGATCGAAAGGTTAGTTGTTTGAATCCAGGGAGCGTGGTGAGCTCCCACTGTTAGCCTCAGTGTCTGCCAACCTAACAGTTCGAAAACATGCAAATGTGAGATCAATAGGTACCGCTCTGGCAGGAAGGTAATGGTGCTCCATGCAGTCATGCCAGACTAAATGTGTATTGATTTTTCTTAATAGGGAGAGAAGTAGATAGATAGATAGGTTAGTGCAGTGGTTCTCAACCTGTGAGTCCCCAGGTGTTTTGGCCTACAACTCCCAGAAATGCTAGCCAGTTTACTAGCTGTTAGACTTTCTGGAAGATGAAGGCTAAAACATCTGAGGACTCACAGGTTGAGAACCATTGGGTTAGTGGGTCAGTCAATACTGGTTCTTTGCCATTGTATGGAGGATGACATTTGCGTGAAGTTAGGATTCTCATTCAGGGAGCCCCAGTGGCACAGTGGTTCAAATTTGGGGAGCAGAGTGAGCTCCCCCTGTTAAGACTCAGCTTCTGCCAACCTAGCAGTGCTCCATGCAATCATGCCAGCCACATGACCTAGGTGGGAAGGTAATGGCGCTCCATGCAGTCATGCCAGCCACGACCTAGGAGGTGTCTCCGGACAATGCTGGCTCTTTGGCTTAGAAATGGGGATGAGCACCACCACCCAGACTCAGACACAACTGGACTTAATGTCAAGGGGAAAGCTTTACCTTTTTATGCACATACATACACATAAAGGGAGGAGCCAACAGTCATGAAGAGGTTTCAATATTTAATAACTCCTTTATTTTTAATTTTAATTTACACCATAGCATCACATACAGTATGTGTGTGTGTGTGTGTGAGTGTATGTATGTATGTATGTATGTGTAATAAATAAAGGAAATAAAGTTGCATTATGCGTAAAGTCTTTTCCAAAAAAAAAAAATCCCCTAAAAGTTATTAAAACCTCAGATACCTTTGTGACATTCGGTTTGCCCTGTGTAATATTAATAAAAATGACAAATGAAACATAATAATAATATATTAATTATGATGATAATGATAATGATAATGATAATATAATAATAATAATAATAATAATAATAATAATAATAATAATAAAGGCAGCAGCCTGAAAAAGAACACGCACACGCAGACCCCCACCCTCAGTCAAGAAAAGTAACTTAAGGAAGTTGGGGAGAAAAGGTTTTTCCTCTTTACAAGATTATGTTCAGATTTCCAAGATATGGAGGGGGGGGCGGGTTACGTCTATTCCGTGGAAACAGTGGCGGATCCTAATGGCAGGATCCCCCCCCCCAGGCCCCCCGCCCTGCTCCCGGGGGCGCCTCTTCCTCCGAGGCCTCCTCTCTGTCTGGCGGGGCAGCCACCCCGAAATGCCGGCGGGGCTTTTCCCAGGCCCAGGCGCCTCTGAGCCCCGAGCGGGATTTTACGGCCGAGCGGTGGCGGCGGCGGCAGGCGCAGCTGCAGCGGGAGGGGCCGCCTGCTTGCCAGCTTGCCTGCCTGCCTGAGGCCTGCGTGCCTGTCGTCGGCGAGCGGCCCAGCCGGGCTCCGCGGCGCCGGCCTGTCCCTTCCGCCTTCTCCGGGTCCCTCTCGGCCGTGACGTGGCGCGCTGACGGCGGCCCGGGCCGGGATCTCCCCGCTTCCCCCCGCTCTCTCGCTCGCTCGCTCGGCGCTCTCTCGGCCCCTCCCTCCCGCCTCCGCTCCCGCCCCGCCGCCGCCGCCGTTGCCGCCGCCACATCCCCGCCGAGCGCGGCCCAGCCACGCCGAGGAAGGCCGCCCGCAGCCCCGCCCGCGCAGAGGCCGCCCGCAGGCCCCGCCTAGGCCTTCCCCAGGCCGCGGCGCCCTCCGCCAGCAGGCCCCGAGCAGGCCGCGCCTAGGCCGCCGCCTCAGCCTCGGCCACCACGGGCCCACAGGCCGCAAAGAGGTACAGGCCCGGCACCAGGCCTCGGGGGGGGAGCGGGGGAGGGGGCCCGGCGCGGCGGCGGAGGGACAGGCCGAGCCCCGGCAGCGCGGGAAGGGGGCGAGGCCCGGTCCGGGCGCAGGCAGGACGAGAAAGAGGAGGAGGAGACAAGATGGCGGCAGGAAGGGAGGCTCGGGGAGAGAGAGAGAGAGAGGGCCGGCCGCCATCTTGGATCCGTCGCGTCGGGCCCCGGGCGGGAGGGGAGGCGGGCGGGCGGCCTCCATGGCGGGCCCGGCAGGGCAGGAGCAGGAGGAGGCGGCGCCGGGGGCAGCAGCGGGAGCCTCGCCCCTCCCTTCTCCTACCGCCCCGGGCCCTCTCCCTTCCCCGCCGCCATGAAAGGGGGTGCCTCCCGGGGGGGGGGGTGCCTTGAGGTCGGGGCAAGCAGGGCTAGGCCCAGGCCGGCCCTCAGGGAAGCAGCGCCCCGGGCCTTCCCTCAGAGCCGGGATGCTGGGTCCGTGCAGGGGGCAGAGCCTCCCCTCACGGCCAGTTCAGGCACMCTCCCCTCCTTGTGCTTAGGACATTTGGAAAGATTGACACCCACCCCCATCTGCATTGATGACATCAGGCTCAGGCTGTCCCTTCCCTCAGTCATGGTGAGGGCAGCTGCATTCCCATGAGGATGCCATCCTCGCCTGCTGGTCTGCGGATGGGTGCTGCCCTTCTTCAGCTCCTCCCCATATAAACATCATTAAAATGGGGTGCATCTCAGAATCAAGGCTGCTTCTATGCATATGTGTGTGTATGTATGTATATTTCTGTTGGTGGCAATGAAATTAGTGTGCATCTTAGAATCAAAGGAGAGTGCTCCCGTGTATACACATACACACATTTTACATTACGCTACAGCAGAGCTTTCAAAAGTTTTCATGTCCGCAACATACTTTTGCGACACAATATTTTCAGTTTCATTCGCAAAGTGCAGGTTCAGCCAATCCCTTATAAAGACTCATACAATACACACACACACTGTGTATATGCATATGTGTGTATATATATATTAGTTTGTGGGATTGACATAACTCAAAAACCACTGGACAAATTGACACCAAATTTGGACACAACACACCTATCAGGCCAATGATTGACCATCTATATAAATAAAAATTTAATGTTCGTTTGTGGGATTAACATAACTCAATAACCACTGGGTGAGTTGACATGAAATTTGGACACAAGACACTGATCAAGCCAATGAGTGACTATCACTCATAAAAACACAGAAAAATGCAGCAGAAAAGACTTAAAAAGCAAAAAAAAAACCCCATTACAACGCATGCGGAAAACCACATATATACACAAACACATATATACAGAAATATATGCACACACTAAACGAAACAGGGGAAAGGAGGGAGAGAAGAAAAGAAACAAAGGTAGAGAAGGAAGGAAGGAGATAACAAAATAAAAAAGTGAAAGAGGGAAGGAAGGTGAGAAGGAACGAAGGAGGGAAGGAAGGAAAGAGACAAGGAAGGATGGAACCAAAGAGCAAAGGAAGTGAGAAAAGAGATAGAGAAGGAAGAAAGAAGGGAAAGAAAAAGATGGAAGGAAGGAAAGAGGGAAGGAAGGAAGGAGAAAAAGAAAGAAGGAGATGAAGAGCGGGGGAAGGTTGGCCACAGGGGTTCAGCTAGTCACTCATAAAAACACTGAAAAAAACAACAGAAGGGACTTAAAAGGCCAAAAAAGCAAACGGATGCCACAGTGCATGCTAAAAAACGACTCCTCCAGCAAACAAAACACACAATAGCATATCCACACTTTCTTCTGGACTACAGCTCCCAGCATCCCCTAGACCAGGCCCTTTAGGAGAGGAGGATGATCCAAATGCACTGCTTCCAAGATGCAAGCTTTCTTCTTGGATTTCTTTGAGAGCATCCCAGTCCCTGCATGTTTCCAATATCTTATTCCTGGACTTCAACTCCCAGCAATCCTCCAGCTAGATAGATTAGGTAGAGATACGTAGGTAGGTAGGTAGACAGATCGATCAGGAGGACTGCTGAGAGTTGCAGTCCAAGAATAGGTAGAGATGGGAGAAAGGGGAGAAAGAGGAAAGGAAAGAAAGGGGATGGGAGGAAGGAAAGAAAAAGAGAAGGAAGGAATGAGAGAAGAAAAGAAAAAAGGGAAGGAAGGAAGGAGAGAAAGAGGGAGGGAAGGTAGGCCACAGCAACGCGTGGCGGGTATAGCTAGTGTGTGTGTGTGTGTGTGTATATATATATATATAAAGTTTCATATAATCTTTGGGTTATTGGGAGCTGTTCTGAGTTTTAAATTGCTGTTATTTTATATGCTATTGGCTTTTACTTCTTTGTTATACCGTATGTTTATTTTATGTGTTGTTTCAGGTATTTTGTGTCATGTGTAAGCCGCCCCGAGTCCCTTTGGGGAACAAAAATAAAGTTACTATCATTATTATTATTTACTGTATAAACGAGGTTTGGATTTTTTGTCCTTTACATGTATGTACTACAGTTGATTCCTGTGTAGTTTCCTCTATAGCTGCTCTATGAGCTTCATCACAAAAATCATTGTCAACAGATTTTCTTTTCTTAATTAGAAATCTATCCATTTTTGTGGTAATTACTGCAACTCGATCAATAAATTGTGCAAATTATGAAAGTAATAATAGTGCCTACACTTAGACAGCACCAGGGTTTGTTTGTGGGGGCGGAAGGAGGGGGGAGCATTTTCCATGCGACACCTCGGTGTGTCCCGACACACAGTATGGAAAGCTCTTCATTACAAGTTGAGCATTGCTTATCTAGATTTCCAAAATACTCCCAAAATCTTCCACATGGGTGGCCAAGAGAGAGGCACAGTTGCTTTTCATGATGATTCTGTGTGTACAAAATTCGTTATTAAACATATTTGAGTATAAAATTTCCATCTCTGGCATAAAATTATTACAGTTATTTAAAAGTCTTGAGTACAACATTTATTATGGTCAATGACCAGCACCAAAAAATGAACAAATGTTGGAATAGGAACATATATTTTTACGTATTAAGAAACACTGTCAAAAGCAAAGTTAAAACCCAACATGGAATATGATTGTTAAAATGGTATTAAAAATATTCAATATGAAATTACCATAAGGTTACATACATAATGGTGTATATGAAATAAATATGAATGTTGTGTTCAGGTTTGAGTCCCATTTCCAAAGTATTCAATTATGTATATATGCAAATATCCCAAAATACAGAAGATTTCTGGTCCCAAGCATTTCAGATAAAGGATGCTCAACTTGTGTAGTCATATACGTTGGGGTTTTTTTATTTTATTTCTTGTTACATGAAATAATTGGATAACTACAGTCCGAAAACCCACAGTGTTCACTTTTGGTTGGAATAATAAAACCAGTTCATAAAAAAGTTAATAGGGTAAGAACCTTCAGCTACAAAATATTTTCAAACTTGCTTTAGGAGGGGGATCCAGTGTCTCTTTATCTAGATGTTAGTGGGTTTTTTTTGGGGGGGGGGTGGTAAGGGGTAGATAATATTCTAGCTCATATATTTACAAAGAGGAGCAAATTGCATTTCCATATTGCTTTTAGCATGGTAAGTGGCAGCAAAGAGAATGTTATATACTGGATGCCGTCATAAATGTAACAATTTTTTTGGATTGAAAGGTACAGAAGCAAAACAAAACTTTTAAACCATCAGGGTTCATTATCATTATTCTAAAAGTATGTTGTAATTTTGTTTATTATGCATTTCATAATACACTGGGAAAATACTATTAATATTTATTTCTTGTAATTTAGCTCATCAATATTGGGACATTTATTTTGAATATTGGGGTACAAATAAAAAATGGATTGTTTATGAATAGATTTTTATGGGAAGCCTTTGAACCCCATTAAGAGAGGGATACTTGCTCTTAAAGATATCACTTTTGTCCCAGCACTGTTGAGTGTTCCTGCAACCACTGCTTATAGCAAGCTATCAGAAGGCAGTCCACCCCACCCTGTAATGTCTATTTGGCAATAACAGGGCAAAAATTCAACTAAGCATTATTTAACCATGTTTTTTTCTTCACAAATTTGTATGTATGTTACATCTAGATATAAATTAATTGGAAGTACCTTTATTTTAATTTTAGATACATTATTACTAATGAGATTTAAAGGCCATGGATGAAGATGGACTTGAACTACAGCCACATGATTCACATGCATTTTTTGATTCTACAGGTATGTCATGAAATGATTTATAATGCTAAAATTGCTTTATCTAAGAGCATTTGGCAGGTCATTGTTCATTACCGTTTGTTTCTGAATGACACCAGACTAGGGCATTTTTACTTAAAAGGCTTATTTTCATGGTCTGACTCTACTCTAGTTTTTAATTGATTGTATGTTTTGAAAAAAGGCTTAATGCTGAAAATTTATATAGCACCCACTATCCCAGAAACATTATACATAATTTAAGTAGTTGGTTGTTAATGTTGGTTGGCCTTGCTCTAAGCTAAGGAAGAATAAAGAAAGTAGTATATATGCTATAGGTACATGTTCAGGTAAGCTGTATAACAGTGGTTCTCAACCTGTGGGTCCCCCAGGCGTTTTAACCTACAACTCCCAGAAATCCCAGACAGTTTATCAGCTGTTAGGATTTCTGGAAGTTGAAAGCCAAAACATCTGAGGACCCATAGGTTGAGAACCACTGCTTTATGAGAAGATAACTTTTATTTATTTGTTTGTTTATTTGTCGTGTCAGAACAACCAGTCTAACAGAACAAAGCAAACAAACAGAAAAGTACACAACTTGTGAGTTTGGTAGCTGGTTAAATGTCCTTTGACCAGTATCTGGCCACTTGGAGTGCTTCCGGTGTTGCTGGAAGATAACTAATAAAATGCCATAGAAGAAACAAAGTAGTAGTAGTAGTAGTAGTTATTATTTGTATCCATCTTTTGCTCTCTAAAAAGAAACTGAAAGCGACTTACAGTAAAACCGGTACCATACAATTTTAAACCCCCAAAATATACAAACATTAAAATAATGTTAAATATTTACAGTATTAAAAAAAGTGAAAACCGATTAAAACCACACTCATACCTAAAACCAGTAAATTAGCCATTCCCAGGCATTTCACAATGTGCCTTACATTAGATTGTCCATTTCTTTTCCCTCTGCAAAAAAAGTTTAAAATAAAATTTAGGTCCTCAGATCATTTCCAAACAGCTCCTACACAAATAATAATGGAAGAACAATGACAGCAGTGTTGAGCGAATTGTGCAGAAGGAAATCTTTTAACAATATGCAACATGCCACATGAAACTGAAATATGTGTAATTTGTATGGGGAGAAAGGGGTGGATGCACCAAAATTTAAATTTTTTCCAGTTCTTAGTAATGTCCCTAGAATAATAAGAAAGCATTCTGATTTTAATGATATTGGAGTTACATTGGTTTAATACTTAAAATTATGTTTTATATTTCAGCAGCTGATGGAACACACATGAATGGAAATGAAATTGTGGTCGAAATACAGGAAACTGTATATGTATCAGATGTGGAGGACGCTGATATAACTGTCCATAATTTTGTTCCTGATGATCCAGATTCGGTAGTAATCCAAGACGTCATTGAGGACGTTGTCATAGAAGATGTTCAATGTTCAGATATCATGGAGGATGCAGACGTATCTCAGACTGTTATTATACCGGAAGCAGTGCTGGACAGTGTTGTCACCGAAGAGGTTTCTCTAGCACACTGCAGTGTCCCGGATGATGTTTTATCTTCTGAGATCACACCTTCAACAATGTCAGTACCTGAACATGTGCTCACCAATGAGTCCTTGCACATCCCTGATGTTGGACACATGGAACACGTCATTCATGATCACAATAATGTTGTAGAAGCAGAGATTGTCACAGGTTCCCTGGGAGAGGATGTAGTTTCAGAGGTGCTGGTGGCAGACTGTGCCTCTGAAGCTGTAATCGATGCCAGTGGAATTCCTGTGGAACATGACGAGGACAAGGGCAACTGTGAAGACTACCTTATGATTTCTCGTAAGTATTTCGGTAAAGTGTTTCGCTAAAGCATTTTAAGCACTACAATTTTTTATCAACAGATACCCTAATTCAGAGATCGTATTCTAGCTCTGTTGACTTACTGTAGTGGCAATCTAATATAAATGCCATGGCATCACCTTCTATATTTGATGGTTAGACTGAGATGAAAGCAATAATAGTTCTAGTGAGAGACAGCAGATTTGTTATTATCTTGAATCGTGATAATTTCTTTTTCTATCAAGAAGTAAGCACACTGAACAGCAAGAGGACCAGTGGGTGGCAGTTAGCAAAAGGAGAATGGGATAGAAGGGTTACTGGAACTTTAAAAATAAATACATGGCAACTTTGTACTGAAATCTGCAATTTGCACAAACAAATATTATTTTATGTGTATCAGTGTTACAACTAGAAGCGCCCATAATACTGGGTAAGATTAGCTATTAAGTCATAATAATAGATAGGCATCGCCTTTGGGTTTTCATTAAATATCAGCATTTTCCTAAATAATCCAATCAGAAAATATACTTGACTTTTATCTTGAGAAAAATGTAAATCCACGCCCTTCATAAATGCACGTGAATGTCTATACTAGAAATTATGTCAAGTGAAAGTTTCCATGCTGCTTCATAGCTTGCCTTGAGCATTCCAAACAAGTTCTGCCAGTTCTTAAGCACCAAGAGTGATGCCTAATATGGTGCAGTCTGTTCTAGGATATAAGTGCTTCATAGAGACACATGAAAACAAGAATTGTGCATTCAATTCAAAATTCAGATGGGTCTCAATTAAAGTGCTATTCAAAGTGATGGTCCCTGGACCTTTGCTGTATTCTCTGAATCAATGACTACTGATCCCAACAAGTTTCCAGGATATTCAGTGGGCACAGATATGATGCCAGTCTCTGGCTCTATGGGAAAAAAAAAATTACTCATCCATACCAGGTAGCCGGGGAAACACTTCTCTAAACGTTGGGCTACAAGTACTAGCAGCCCTAGCTAGCACAGCATAACCAAGAACGCTAGGAGTTGTAGTCCAACATCCTCTGGGATGCCCCATGAGTCCCATCTCTTTTTTACACAACACATTCATCTTGTTTGTGTGATAATGGGCTATTTGGTTGGCTGTAAAAGTTAACATAATGTTAAGTAAGATTTAAGATACAGAATCATACTTAACCTCCCTATATCATTATTTCTTCTTATCGAAGTTTTTTCATGCCACCTTCTACCCAGGTGTGGGATTGTATATAATCATGACCAGAATGACAGACAATATAATGAAAAACAATATATGTGTCTGCATAGTGCTTCAATCAATGTTGTGTGTTTGGATTATAGTTCATATTGCTTGGACAATGTACCTTATAGGCATATTTCTTGGATTATTCCTGATTCGTTAGTGGCTCTGATCAGAATAAAATATTCTATTTGCCACATTATGAATAAAAGATAAAATAGAAAATGGTCTTATTTCATTTTAGTATGGGATTTCTGTTGCTTCCCCGATTAATTAGCTGTATGAACATGATTTTTGATTTGGCCAAGATTAGGGAAGGTAATTAAAAGGAACATTTCATTTCTATGAAGCCAGACACAAGAACATTTGTGATTTTTAATAAACTTGCATTGTTTATTAATTCACCTCATTGTATGTTTTCTTATAAACAGAGTAATTCATTATACAAAGGGTTGTTTAATATCACTTTTAAGTATTCTTTTTTGTACTTTTCTGACATTGAAATGATCTTCTGTTTTATTGCAAGCTGTTTATATTGCACTGACATTGGGTCATTTTATTGTTTTTTACTCTAGTGGATGAGGCGGTCAAGGCAGAAACTGACAATTCGGTTGATATTAAATCAGACTCTGAAAGTGATCCCTGTAAAATGGATGGCATTTGCCCAGAAGTCATCAAAGTCTATATTTTTAAAGCTGATCCTGGAGAAGATGATATAGGTAAGTCGTCGACAAATCTTTCGGAGCAGTACTTGGAGATCCCAGAATCAAAGCAGCAGCAAAAAATGTGGCAAACATTCATTCTGTGACAGCATAACTTGCTGGTAGATAATTTTAGAACGGGGAGATTAAGGTTCTGATCCAATATCCCCCCAGTGTTCTCAAAGTGTCCCTCCAGGAAAATTGTCACAGCTTGCACTTTTATACAAATCAGTGGGCTTCCTTACTTCTGAATACACAGGATTGTGCTTTCATAGTGTCCATTTTGCTGTTCCAATCTTTTCTAACCAGCTCTTTTCTAGATATTTGTATTGCCTCTAACCCCCCCCCCCCTTAAATAAAACTATAGTTTAATAGAAACATGTTCCTAAAAATATTTTGACTCATTCTTTTTTACTTAGGAGGCACAGTAGACATTGTGGAAAGCGAATCGGAAAATGACCATGGAGACACATTAGTTAATCAAAATAGCAGTGTTCGTATTCCAAGGGAGAAAATGGTTTATATGGCAGTAAATGATTCTCAACATGAAGATGAAGAGTTAAGTAAGTATGTGGCATTTATTTAGGGGCCGTGATTTGATTAAAATAATACAAAAGTCATATTACATAGGGTTTATTTTTCACATAGATGTGGCAGAGATTGCTGATGAAGTCTACATGGAAGTGATAGTAGGAGAGGAAGATGCTGCAGCAGCTCACGAACAACCAATTGATGACAATGAAATGAAAAGTTTTATGCCAATAGCTTGGGCAGCTGCTTATGGTATGGTCAGTTTCTTCTGTTAGATTGAAATTGGTAGCTGATCTGAAGATCAAGAACATTAGCTTCCAACTCATTTGACAGGGGGTCTCTCCTCCCCCCCCCCCTCCATTGTAGTAGGATTTAGCTGCAGGATGGAAGTATTTGAGATGTGTGTGCTTCCATATGAAAAACTGCATGTGAAGAATATTAGTATCTGACTTTCCATTTGGGAGGAAAGATGCAAAAACCTACTCAGATAGTGTCTCATATTTTGCATCAGAATTTATAAGAGTACATATATGTCATTTGCATATTGTTCATTAAATTTTCTTAATTAGGACAGAAAAAAGAAGTTTATACTGTCACCATTCTAAACTGTAGATATTAGAACAGAACACAAACTATCAACTGTGAAATGGTTTAAATGCCTTTACTGTTAGGCTTTTGTGCTGTACACAAAAATTGGATAAGGATGAAAAGTTGGTATAGTCAGCTCTCCACATTTGTGCATTTGACTTTTGCAGACTTCATTATTCATGGAATTGATAAAGATGTTATTTCTGGGAATCTCTAGGTCTTCCAGTGCAAATCTGTGGTTAAATTGACCATGGAGTTGTGCTGTAAGATATAGAGGTTCCTAAATAAGTATTTTCTCCGCTAAAACCTTTTTATTCATCATTTTCACTTTCATGAAAACCATGCCTCTAACCTCAGTGAATGTGACGGTCTGGCAGAAGGAGGAAGTTTGTTGAGCAAAACATATACATTCTGAAACTCAAGATCATACTAATTTTTTAACTCTTTAAGCAAAACAGTGATAAAATGCTGTGATTATGAAAGATTAAAATCCCACCAACAATTTGTACTTTTGTCACATTATTTACATTAACTTTTGTTCTTGAAACTGCTGCCTGAAGTCTTTTTCTGTCCTACACATCCCACAGTATGGGAACCACTTCTGTGATTTCCTCTCATTCCATAACAAAGTGGACCATTAGCAGCATGTCCTGAGGGGCTAGTTTCATTCTTGCTTCCCGCAAGCTAGCAATCTAATTAAAAAAAGAAATAGTATCATGCTTTTCCAAGCTTCATCATGATCAGTTGTGTTTGTGTGTGTACTTCGTTGCTGCCTTTTCATCATGAAATTGAAGTGTTAATGTGGTGATATCCATGGAGTAAGCCATAGATAACTGCGAAGGGCAACTATATATGAATAAAAAAGCTATGCAGAGTAGTTGTGTTTTTTTGTTTGCACCTCTCTATATTCAGTATCCAAATAAGTTACTAAAAAGTGTTGAAATTGGTATTTACAAACTTTCAGTGTTAACTCTTGTGGCTTAATCTAGCTTTATCATTATCAATACTACATTCAGGGTTTTGAATAATCTACAAAATGCTGAGTACTGATATATGTATGTTTCACCCTCCTTACGTAATCATTATCAATCCTACATTCGGGGTTTTAAATAATCTTCAAAATGCTGAGTATTGATATATGTATGTTTCACCCTCCTTAGGTAATAACACTGATGCTGTTGAAAACCGAAATGGAACTGCAAGTGCTCTCTTGCACATAGATGAGTCTGCTGGACTTGGGAGGCTAGCAAAACAAAAGCCAAGAAAGAGAAGGAGGCTGGAATCCAGGCAGTACCAAACAGGTGAATATTCACCTATTCTAGTCACTGTCATAATCAATCACCCTTATCAAAAGAAAGAAAGAATGAAGGTGCAGCTTTCTGTGAATCTATGAAAGGGATTGTAATGTACATAATTCAGTTTGGACTTAGCTGCTTTTTTTCATTTTTTTGCTTGCAGAAATATTTAATATTGCTGGGATGACCTTAAAATAACAACTTCTTCTCAATTTAGAGCAGAAGAGGAAAGTAATAGAACTGAAAGGTCAAAATTTCTTGGAAAAATATTAGCTCACATGCCAACTGTCTATATCTACATATTTACAATGGTTTTAATAATGGGAAACTCATTTGAAATGCTCAGAATAGCACAGTCCACATATGTCAGAAGGCCTTGGATTCTGACCTAGATTTTTTAGGATAAAATAGTTCTGGAGGTGAAAGGAGAAGGTGTGGGATATGCACAGTAATCATGGGGTGGATCTATACTGTAAATTCAGTGCAGTTCGAAACTATGGAATCATAGGTGTAGTTTAACAAAGTTTGTAGCCTTCTCTGTCAAAGAATGCTGGTGTCTCCACAAATGATAATTTCATGGCATTGAGCTATGGCACTTAAATTGGGGTTGATCTGGAATACTTCTGTAGTGTAGATGCACCCCTGGAGTGCTTGTTGATAGACAGAGAAGAATATAGAAAATAGGGTGGAAGGAGGAGTGAACTGATCCTTGAAGGCAGCAGAGTTGTCCAAATAAGAGTATTTTACATTGCATCGTTTTTGAGCAATTCGGTTTTTATACCCGTTTGAAAGCAGAATATCAATTTCCAGAAGATTCTTATGTTCCATTTCTATGTAATTTCTTGGAATCTTTTGAAACATGTATACATGTTAAACTACTACATAGACTAATACATTACTTAGATTCCTCAGAAAGCGATTGAAGCACATTCAATGCCAGTTGTGCTATGTATAAATAGTGCAAAGAGCTTGTTGTTGTTTTGTGCCTTAAATTAATTTCTGGCTTCTGGCAACTATGAGGCAAATCTGTCATGGAGTTGTCTTGCCAAATTTCGTTCAGAGGTTTGCCTTTATCTTTTGCTGAGACTGAGAGAGTGTTAATGAATTTTATTACTACGGTCATAGACCAGGAGTAATACAATTCATTAAAACATTACAATCATTTTTTTAAAAAAAAAACAACAACATTAAAGCCAGAAAGTTCGAGATGTACAACTATCCTACTCAGCTTCATATCTGACACTTAATTAAAATCTGTAGATACAGATATTAAAATGAGAATCTGTTATAATCATCCACCATCTGCCTTCTTATTTTTACAGCTGCAATTTTACAAATTTTATTTAATTATTTATTTACCTTAGTTATCTCCCGCCTTTTCTCTACCCCAAGGGGGACTCAAGGCGGCTCACAAATGACACCTACACAGTGTCTCAAAAACATACAAAATACACTTTAAATGATTTAGACTAAAATTACTAACACAATAACATAATTAAAATTACATTCAAAGTTAAAATATGCCATCCAGCGATCAAAGTCTAAGGCCAGTCCGTGATCAATTGTGCACATTCCATATTTAAAATTACTGGATTGCCCTAATTTTGAAAGCCTTCTCCCAGAGCTAGGTCTTTACTCTTCTTCTAGAGGCTAGGAGGGAGGAGGCTGATCTGATGTCACTAGGAAGGGAGTTCCACAACCGATGGGCCACCGCTGTTTCTCGTCCCCACCAGCTGCACCTGAAAAGAAGGTGGGACCGAGATCAGGGCCTCCCAGAGGATCTTAGTCTCTGAGCTCGTTCATAGGGGGAGATAACAACATCAACAACAACTTTATTCTTATATCCTGCCTCCATCTCCCTGAAGGGACTCGGGGTGGCATACATGGGGACCCAGCCCAATATGAACAAAGGGTTACCAAGTAACACAATTAAAATATATAACAATAAAATACATTAAAAGAGTAAAACCAATAAAATGTAAGACACCATTAAAAAACATAAACCAAACATCAAACAAGCAGTAGCCAAGAAAAGTGGGCATGTGCAGATTTGAGACTACTAGGGCAGGACAAGGGCTTGTGCAAATGCAAATGTAGGGCCAGGGCTGGCAATAAAGCACTGGAGATTCAACCAAAAGATTAGAGCTAGGCAGACTTAATAAGTAGCTAAACCATTATTCATAGGCAAATTGGAACATCCAAGTCTTCAAGTCTTTCTGGAAGGTGGACAGGGTGGGGGCTAACCTAACCCTAGTCTCCAGAGTCACAGCCCAGCATTCAGATTAATACATCACAGTTGTATTGCAGGTTCTGGATCTGCGATTTTCACCAGCCTATATATAACATGCACAGTAACATTATGTACAAATCCTGTATATAAAATGGAAGCAATATGAACAGATGTGCTATGAGACACGGTCATCCACGTTGTTTGGCATTTACATGGGGGCCCATAACGGAATCCCCGTGGATCCTGAGGATCTACTCTACAGCAAACCCAGCCATCTAGAACATCATACTAGTTCACTAATGCACACATAATTTTAGGGCACCTGAGAACAGTTGCAACTCTTGCGAATGCCAACATCTCTATAGAAATACTAAAAGTATGCATTTAGAAAATGATGTTTAAAAACCATTATATCTACAGATCCAGCATTATACTCTCAGGAAAAATAAGCAGCAAGTGTATTATGTGTCTGCACTCAAAATGTTTGCTAATATTTAATAAACAATATAGAACTTCTTTATTTCGAATACAGTATTCGGGGTTTATTTGGTAGAATTTAAGCTTTTGTTATCAACCATTCAATAAAGACTAATTGGCAAGAGATATCCACAGTTAGCTTTCCATATCCATAGATTTCCTACCCACAGATTCCATAGTCCACATCTTGAAAATAACAAAACTTCAAAAAGCAAACTTTGATTTTGAAATTTTATTGAAGAGATGCCATTTTACTATGCTACTGTATATAATAGGACTTGAACATCTACAGACGTTGGTGTCTACAGGGGACTCTGGAATAAAACCTCAGCAGATACCAAGAGTCCACTGTATATTTAGTTTGTGGAAGCAGAGGCTTGAAAATTGGCTGGAACTACAGTTTCCCAAATTTTCTAAACAGTATTGAACAGAAAGAAATCTTTAAGTTGGTGGGTTTTTAGTAGTCTCAAGAGTCTAATTCTGCATGTAGGGAGATTCACAGAAGCAATGGGATCTCAGAGGATATTCTTAAATACACAGCCATTGATACCATCAAGTCGTTTCAGACTTAGGTTGACCCTGAGCAAGGGCTGGGTAAATGACCTTGAAGGGCCGTATCAAGCCCCCGGGGCCTTAGTTTGAGGACACCTGATCTATACACATTATCTTCTATCTATACACATAATAAAAGTGAAAAGTGTGTATGTGTATGTGGCAGAGATGTCCACTTACACAGCCTCCCACCACCACAAACAGGCTATAGTTCCAAGTGCTGAGAAGCCACCAAAGGCCCACCACCCAAGGAATGCTTTTGAGTCATTGCAGCATTGTCCATTTCTGATGCACAAGGTGTGAGAGAATATATGTGGCTGCTTTGTTCATATTGCCAGCACAGGCTTGTTATAGGTGTGGTTGATACCATGGCCAAGAGCATCATCTTCCTGGCAACTCAGCAGATGCGTAATGCACTAGTATGCACAGTTTATGAGTAGGGGAAATTGCTACCGCAGTTCTGCCTTGCAAGTTTAATGACTGAAATATCATATGAAATTCTGTGTACTCTAGACATGTATTGGCTTTTCATGATCAGTTGCAGCAAAATATGTTATTAGAAGCACTGAGTTATACAAAGCAAAACAAAACTGTTGGTACCTTCAGTTCCAAAAGTGGTGGACATTTTATCTTTAGTTTTAGAAATGATTGCCTTAAATGTGACAAATAGAAGGCAGCTGTTGGAAAGATTACCATTGCCATAATACCTTTAAGATAATATGTTTTCTGCACTTAATAGCATGTCAGGGTATTCCTTTTGACAGCTTTGAGTTCTCTCATTAAAGGAGATGTCAGCACTTGACATTCCTGTCAGTTACTGAAGAGCTGTAAGCCTTTCCCTATTTATTTTGGATCCACCCAGATAGTATGAAGGATTATGAAGTTTTACTGTTTTGAGTGGAAGATTTAAGCACATGCCTAATGCCACCATTGAAATCCATAGCATTTTGAAGCGCCTAATAGTTGTGTCCTTTATTGTTAGCAGACATGTATAAGTCCACTTATTGACTATAATGGATACTCTTTTCCTAATTTTGGTTTTTGCTTTTATTCTGCAGCAATCATAATTGGGCCCGATGGCCACCCTTTGACAGTCTATCCCTGTATGATTTGTGGGAAGAAGTTTAAATCTAGGGGTTTCTTGAAGAGGCATATGAAGAACCACCCAGAGCATCTCCTTGCTAAGAAAAAATATCGATGTACTGACTGTGATTACACTACAAATAAAAAGTTAAGTTTGCATAACCATCTGGAGAGCCACAAGCTCATTACTAAGACCGAGAAGCTCATTGAATGCGATGAATGTGGGAAACATTTCTCTCACGCTGGAGCATTGTTTACACACAAGGTGGTGCACAGGGACAAGGCGGCAAGCAAGATGCACAAATGCAAGTTCTGCGAGTACGAGACAGCGGAGCAGGGGTTGCTGAACCGGCACCTTTTGGCTGTGCACAGCAAGAACTTCCCCCATATTTGTGTGGAATGCGGCAAAGGGTTTCGGCACCCTTCAGAGCTCAAGAAACACATGCGCATCCACACGGGCGAAAAACCCTATCAATGCCAATATTGCGAGTATAGGTCTGCTGACTCTTCCAACTTAAAAACACATGTAAAGACTCGGCACAGTAAGGAAATGCCCTTCAAATGTGACATTTGTTTCCAGATCTTTTCGGATACCAAAGAGCTGCAGCAGCATATTATTATGCACCAAGAGAACAAAACACACCAGTGCTTGCACTGTGACCACAAAAGCTCAAACTCTAGCGATTTAAAGAGGCACATAATTTCCGTTCACACCAAGGACTACCCCCACAAGTGTGAGATGTGCGATAAAGGCTTTCACAGGCCATCGGAACTCAAAAAACACGTTGCGGTGCACAAAGGCAAAAAACTGCACCAGTGCAGACACTGTGACTTTAAGATTGCCGACCCGTTTGTTCTGAGCCGCCATATCCTCTCAGTTCACACAAAGGATCTTCCGTTCAGGTGCAAGAGGTGCAAGAAAGGGTTCAAACTGCAAATAGAACTCAAAAAACACATGAAAACACACAGCGGTAGGAAAGTCTACCAGTGTGAGTATTGTGAGTACAGCACTACAGATGCCTCGGGTTTCAAACGCCACGTTATTTCCATTCACACCAAAGACTATCCCCACCGTTGTGAGTTCTGCAAGAAAGGCTTCCGAAGGCCTTCTGAGAAGAACCAACACATAATGCGGCATCATAAAGAAATGGGTTGCCATGAGGACTCCTTTAGAGGTGGATTCGGGACGGGTGCGTGTAAGAGAGAAGCTTTCTAGCCAGTTATTGTATTTTAAAGCCGATCACACAAAATACTGTGCATTTGATTTATTGCTGAATACAGATAGGATTACTGCTTCTAGTTGACTTTTATACAATTTTTTTCATTAGTGTGTTCTGAATTCTCTTCCGTTTGCTTAATAAATGAGAAAGGATGGCAACAATAAAGTTGCATTAAATAAATAAATTCTGTCTCATACTGAATTTTTCCACAATGTTTGGTTCTCTTGACATGTTTACCTTACTGGATGCTGCGTATTCAGTGACCATATTCACTCAGTTTTGTCATGAGAAATTTTAAATTTGCTCTTAATTAAAAAAATGTCATAGTGAGATCTGTATAACATAAACTTATAAAATGAATGTCAAAATAGAGCATTGTGTCATAAGACCCACCTAACTGTTTCACTGGTATGTAAGGAACTTGCGGCAAAATATTCATTCAGGTAGTTACTCAGTGCTATTTTCCATTATTTGAGGTTCTTTTTTATATAGTGTTTTAACTCTTTCCTAAAAAGTAATAAGAAATACATTGGTTGCTGGGAGCATTTCTTTTCCGTAGGTGTGACTTTCAAAGAAAAAAATTGAGGCACTTGTTCATAAGTATTATCTGCTTATCTGCCTTTTGGTTTTGTATGCCAATGTACATGTGTTTTGAAACCTATTGTTTAAGCTGTTGACAGGATAAATGACTCAATATTCACTGTTGCTAAATTTACCCCGAATTAAATGCAATTTTATTACAAAACTCAAGATGTATGAAATACTTGGTCGCTTCCCAATTTCAACTGCCTACCAGCGTCTTCAGACATCCTTCAAAGACTTATGTGTTATTTAGAAAGATGGAAGAGTAAAGAATTAGAAAAAAAAGTGTGTTTATGAACCATTTGTTTTCCTGCAGCATTTTCTTACATTTTCATCCATTCCTCCTTTGATCATAATAACAACAACAACAACTTTATTTTTGTACCCACCTCCATCTCCCCAAGGGACGGCTTACATGGGGCCAAGCCCGATCAAGATTTTTTCCTTCCAGAGTAAGTTCAGTAAGGAGGTAGTAGTCCTTCTAAAACCAGATAGTATAATTTTCTAGAGTTTATCCAGTCCCTCCTCTTTGTTAAAGATTGCAGTGGTCAGCTATACTGTCCAACTATTTCTAAGGCAAAGCTTCTGTTGGCTGCTTCATGGCAAGAAATTATTCTGTCGATGTACAAACTTCACTGAAAATCAACTGCGTAACAATAATTCCAAAGCATATAAAGAATGTCGTTTTTCCTGTGTGATATATTGCATTTCAAAGAGGAAAGAGCTGTGACACAACTAGATGTGTTCAGGTTCCTTTCGTCATTTCTTTTCATGCTAGTAGGCAGGTACTGGCTAAATATATGGAAGCGAAGAAAAGCAAACTCCAAATGAGCATGCTTGCACCATGCCTCCCCTATGCTTACTTTCCTTTCATCAGAAACTTGGTTATCTCAAGTAAACACTTATATTTCATGGGATGAGGTTGGAAAATGCAATACCTATGCACTCCTTAAGAGAGTGAGGGTCCCATTCTTGTCTGGTTTATGAGAAAAGCTGAGTTACCATATGAGCCACCAGTATGTTCCATAAAAGTGTGATACTAACATCCTGACTTTTGCAACTCTAAGCCTGTCAGATTTATGTGGAGCTGTGTTACTTTGGACTTTTTAACGTGTGTAGGCTGGACAAGTTACTGGAAATGTCTTATATCAAGCACATCCCTGATACAGCAGACCCAGTTTGCGCATGGCCCTAGACCTATAGTACACTAAGCCGCTCTTGTGGAGTTGTGTAAATATTCAACATGGTAACCTTTGTAGGACTGAGGCCTCAAAGCCTGCTCCTGAAACAACTTGTATTTCCAGAAATGAGTGTTTTCAGGATCCATATAGGATCTCATATAACCTACAAAATGTAGGTGCCTGTTTTATCCTGGCTACTTGCCCAAATATCTAAACAATCTCTACGTAATATGATTTCTAAGATTATTAAAGTCTCGTAAACCTCAAATTCCTCATCTGTTACTTAAAAGTATTACCCATATTGGGCACCATCATTCAAATTAACAAAAACCAGACCAGCTTCCTCTTTCTCAAACATTACTTGGAATTATAAATACTTGTCACAAAGCATAATTTTGGAAATTAAAAAAAAACAATTAAGAGTTTAGTCAAATGGATTTTGTAAACTGTGTATGTATAAAAAGCAAACGAACCCTAGATATTGTTACATGTACTGATATTAGTTACAGGCTAGTTTTATTTAATTAGCAAATGCTATGAAATGGATGTTTCCATTCAATGTTTTAAACGGTACATTTTTTAAAAAACCAAGAACATAATATAAATAACTGTTCTGTAAAAATGCTTGTTATATACTCTATGTTCCTTCTTGTATACTTTGTAAAAAATGAAAAAAGGAATTACATAGACTCCCGTATAGGGATGTGTGCTGTTGTAATGTGTACTTGATAATGTGGAAAAAAATAAAAATCAACTATTTTTCTGTTAACGAATATTCATTTGACATTTTACAGGTTTACATAGTCCATTAATAATTTATTGTACTTCAGTTTTAGTAAAAATTTTTTAATGAAGTAGCACATTATACCTACTGAATTACAGCTGTCTCTCCACATTAGTGTTTTTTTTTACTTTTGCATATTTGATTATTCACAGATTTGATTTATAATGTTATCTCTAAGAAACTATCAGTGGTTCTCAACCTGTGGGTCCCCAGATGTTTTGGCCTTCCAGAAATCCTAACAGCTAGTAAACTGGCTGGGATTTCTGGGAGTTGTAGGTCAAAACACCTGGGAACCCACAGGCTGAGAACCATTGCTCTAGGTCAGTGGATCTCAACCTGTGGGCCCCCAGATGTTTTGGCCTTCTAACTCCCAGAAATCCTAAACTGGCTGGGATTTCTGGGAACCGTAGGCCAAAACACCTGGAGACCTGCAGAGGTTGAGAACCATTGCTCTAGATCAGTGGCTCTCAGCCCGTGGGTCCCCAGATGTTTTGGCCTTCAATTCCCAGAAATTCCAATAACTGGTGAACTGGTTGGGATTTCTGGGAGTTGTAGACCAAAACACCTGGGGACCCACAAGCTGAGAACCACTGCTCTAGATCCTCCAGTGCGATTTCATGGTCAACTTCTTTTTATCATGCTGGAGGACCTAGAGATTTCAGGAGAGAATGACTAGATGCTCCAATGCAATGCTGTGGTCAGCTTTCAGTGGAAGCTGATCATAGAGCAACGCTGGAAGATTAGAAATGCCTAGAGAAGGATTTTCTCAGGTTAAAAAAATAGCAACTTCTTTATTCATGGTTTTTCATCTTCACTATGGCCCTGTGACCCTAACTCCAGTGAACATAGAGAGCTGACTGTACAGCAGAATACAAGAAATCGAAAGTCAGGCATTTGACAAAGAGTAAGTGAGGTGTACTGTACTAACTACTGTAATATTCTACTTTGCTAATGATGTACAAAATCCAGATAGTGTCGGACTTCCCTTTAAATTAGCCATAGCCAATGTAATTGATAGTGACTAATGCCTGAGTAATAATAATAAAAATTAATGTAAGTAAAAGATCAAAGACAACCTTTCAAAGACAATTGGTTAGATCATTGTGATCTGAAACCTTTGCCAATAGGTGGCAATAACGTATAAGAACTGAAGGAAGCTTAGCGGCCTATTTCTTTAAAAGAATTAGATGGAAGAAGTTTGCCAGTAATCTCTCCTTATTGTAGGAATACAATGGAACAGATACTGAGCATTTCTCTCATTCGAGGACAGTTTTGTTTTTATAGCATTCTCCTTCCTCCCGCACCATGGAAAAGGAAATACTGGCATAAAGCTCTTCAAAGAGCTCCCTTCTACTATCTAACAAATTATTATCAAAATATGCTGCTCCATGGGCATACGTTCTCCTTTAGCAGACATATCCTCTTTTTCAGAACTAAAATCGTGAAAACAGTCATTTGGTAGGGCAACTGCATTCTTTTTATCATACATAGATTTTTTTAGTTCGCTTGACAGTTTCTCCTGCTGCTGCCATTCTTAAGTTCAAGCTCTGCAGTCTTAATATTGTTGTTAAGAAGTTACAGCACTAGGAAACTTCTGAAGCATTTTTTGAATCATAGAGTGATAGAGTTGAAAGAGACCTTTTGGGTTACCCAATCCAACCCCCTGCCCAAAAGCAGGAAAATCGCATTCAAAACATGCCCAACATATCACTATCCAGCCTCTGCTTAAAAGCCTCCAAAGAAGTAGCCCCCACCACACTCTAGGGCAGAGAGTGCCACTGTTGAATAGTTCTCACAATCAGGAAGTTCTTCCTAATGTTCAGGTGGAATCTCCTTTCCTGTAGTTTGAAGCCATTGTTACGTGTCCTAGTCTCCAGGGCACCAGAAAACAAGCTTGCTCCCTCCTCCCCATGACTTCCCCTCACATATTTATACATGGCCATAATGTCTTCTCTCAGCCTTCTCTTCTGCAGGCTAAACATGCTGAGCTCTTTACGCCGCTTCTCATAGGAAATGTTCTCAGACCCTTGATCATTTTAGTCACTCTTTTCTGGACACATTCCAGCTTGTCAATATATCCCTTCAATTGTGGTGCCCAGAACTGGACACAGCATTCCTCCAAGAACTTTAAAAGATGATTGCCAGTGGTTCCGAAATGACTTCTGCTAGTTCCTTCAATACTCTTGGATGTAGTTGATCTGACCCTGAGGACTTGAATTCATTTAGAGCGGCCAGATATTCCTGGACGACTTGTTTCCCTATTTGGGGTTGGATTTCCCCTAATCCTTTGTCCAATCCATATTGCTGAGGTTGACGATAACTTTCTTTTTGTGAGAAGACTGAGGTAAAGAAGGCATTAAGTAGTTCTGCCTTTTCCCTATCCTTTGTCACTTGTAAAATCAAACTCAAGCTGAGTTATGTGAACCTACCAAAGAAACTGTTGCTCTCATTCTTGTTCCATATTTCATCATTCCTCCAAATTAAAACCAAAGGCAGATAGATACAGATAAGCATTCGGATAATTGGGCAGATAAAGAAAGGACTTTGACAATGGCCAGGAAATGACTAATGGAATGGAATTTGGAACTCTGAAAGACGAACGCTGAGCATGTGAATAGTTTTTATATGATATGTTGTATATTGATTGTTTTGATTGTTTTAACTGTGATAATTGTTTTAACTATGGTTTTGTACATTATGTGTAATTTGTATAGGCATCGAATTGTGCCTTTTTGTAAGCCGCCCTGAGTCCCCCCTCAGGGGTTGAGAAGGGCGGGGTAAAAGTACCCGAAATAAATAAATAAATAAATAAATAAATAAATACAGATAAACATTCAAAAATAGATATGTATAAAAAGTCATTGTTAAAATATAATAAAACAATCTGCAGGAATAAACATACTAATTAAAAACAAATAATAACTATCGTGCATATTATTGGAAGGTTTCTTACAAGCAGTAAATTCCTAACAGGCTGTTTTATTTTTTGAAGAATCCTTCATAGAAGGACAACAAAGGAAGATACAGTCAAGCTTCTCACCAAAGCCTGGGAGCAGCCACAAGGAACATCTCTCCCATATATATATATATATATATATATATATATATATATATATATATATATCCGCAATGGTATTCCCCATAGTAACCTATGGATGTGAGAGCTGGACCATAAGGAAGGCTGAGTGAAGGAAGATA